TGAGTGGTGTGTGATGAGTGGTGTGTGATGAGTGGTGTAAGATGAGTGCCACAGATTGGCACCAAGCATGTCCCACGATCCAGTCCTCCTCAAGGCTCTGTGTACTGCGCCTGCCCCACAAAAGGCAGCCGCGGGAGAGCAGCACTGACGCGTCCACCCGGTCCTCCTGAAGGCTCTGTGCACTGCGCCTGCCACGAATTCAGTACTCCAGGTTCACCAAGTGCTGTGCCTGCCACAGGAAAGGCGGCCGCGGCCCAGCGGCTGCTTTAGCAATTTTTTATTTAGGTTGGGAGCCAGATCGAAAAGCATCGGGGGCCGCGCCCCACCAATCACCTGGCCCCTCTTTGAAAATCCAAAGAAGCTGAACATTGACTCACTGGGATGGGACGAGCCACACAACCCAACTCCATGCGACTCCTTGATGACAGATTTGAGAGGTGGCGCAGAAGCAATGGTCAGGGATGAACCAGGGGCTGGTAAATCATTTCAAGGGCTCTGCACCGCCTCGGCAATCTTTTGATGGCGCTGGGCCATGAACAATCTCGGAGCCCCACCGGGCGAAAAACGACCGGACGTGGAAAAAGCGATCTGCAAGATGTCGATGTGTGTGTGTGTGCGTGCGCATCAGCTGTACGCTGCGGGAGGGTGAGGAAGGTGGTGAACGTTGAGGGGTCTTCAGGCCACCGAACATTCTTACCTACCTGGAATCCTAGTGATCCCACGCTTGTTTTTGCTAGAATCGTTAAGAAAATTACACCACCGTAGACCCCAAACAGGTGTGACAACAAAGAAGCATTCCCAAGTCCTTTTTGTTGAGACATGGGAGACAACAAGGAAGACAAGGCGGACACAATGACCAACAAGAAGGGAAAAAGAAGCGAAACAGGAGACAAGAATCAAGAAGGGAAAAGGAAGCAGAAGGGAGACAAGACGGACACCATGACCAACAATAACGGAGACAAGAATCACATGTGCAACTTATGTGTGAACCAGCTTCTTGAGTTTGCGCAGCTCCAAGCACCCTCTCACTTGGATTTGTAGCCCAGGCTTTATCCTTGGGGGTACATCAAAAAGATCCTTGAGATCAAGCACTCATCTGAGCCAAAGGATCGAGATCCTTTTCCAACGGTGGTTTGCTGACTGGAGCGGGCGGGGGCCATGCGGATTTCTTCCTGTTGGAGAGTATACTTAGAATATACATTGGGAGCCATATACTGTCTAAGGGAGACTAAAGGAAAGAGAAGGGAGACAAGACGGACACAATGACTAACAAGAAGTGAAACAAGAAGGAAAAAAGAAGGAAACAGAAGGGAGACAAGGCGGGCACAGTGACCAACAAGAAGAGAGACAAGACCGAGACAAAAGGAAGACAAGCCGGACGGAAGGCGGACACGCTGTCCCGCAGCAAGGACACTCTTAGACAGCATTGAGAACCCCTAACGGAAGACAAATGAATAGAATGCTGCATGGCCAGCGGAAAAAGGGTGGACACCAGCAGTGACAGACCTGGGAGACAAATGAATAGACATGCTACATGGCCAGCGGAAAAGGGCGGACACCAGCAGTGACGGACCTGGCAGACAAATGAATAGAAATGCTGCATAGCCGGAAAAGGGCGGACACCACCAGTGACAGACCTGGGAGACAAATGACCGAGACATCACAAAAAATATGAGCAAGACACCGCCTAAACATGATCGAGACGCTACCTATAAACATGACCGAGACATTACCTATAAACATGGCCGAAACACCGCAAAAAACATGACCCAGACATCCCCTAAACATCACCGGGCCACCACAGAAACATGAGCGAAACGCCACGTAAGCATGACCGAGACTCCACATAAACATGACTCAGACACAACCTAAACATGACCGACACATTACCTACAAACATGACGGAGACACCACCTAAACATCACCGCGAGACACCACAGAAACATGAACACCGAAACATCACTGATAGACCACAGAACATGATCGAGATACTACCTAAATTAAATATGACCAGGACACCACCTAAACATTGCTGCGACACCACCAAAACATGACCAAGACACCACCGACATATGACCCAGATACGACAAAACATACAGGGACACTGGGATTTGAAGAGTGTGATGTGAATGAGATTCGCATACATGAATTCGGTGCAGGTTTCAAACACACTGGGTTTGTTGCAGATCTTGGACTGAGGCACCGCACCGCGTAATGCCGCCGCATCTGCTTGCGAAAGCTGTCGTGCTCCTCTCACGCAAGGGTCAGGGCCACTCTTCACTTTGTCTAGTTTTATTTTTTCTTTCATGGCAAATAAGTTCATTCTCCTCTGAGCTTTTCTCCCCAGATAGCGACAGCTATGGGGTTCTTACGTCAATAACAATGAGCTGGCTGCGCGCGCTTTCGAGACAGGGCGCCGGTGCTGGGCGCCGCTGCGGGGTGTTGGCGCTGGCGCGGGTGCCGTGAGCTGGCTGCGGATATGGCGCCGGCGCTGCTGTGAGCTGGCTGCGCGCGTGGTGCTTGGGCAGTGGCGCCGCTGCAAGCTCGGGCGCTGGCGCCGCTGCAGCGCCGCGCCGCTGCTGCGCGCGGCGCTCGGGAGCTTGGGCGGCGGCGCCGCGCAGCTGCTGTGTGTGGGCTTTACAAGCTGCAGGGCGCCGCTGCTTGTGCGCTGCTTGGGCGCTGCTTGGGAGCTTGGGCGCTGGAGCCGCTCGGGCGCGGCTACCTTGCCGCTGCAGTGTGCCTCTGCAGTCCGCTGCTGGCACTGCCGGAAAAGTCCTTTTGCTATCTGGGGTCTATGCTGGCGTAACTTCTCCAAGTTGGCCAAACAACGCAGCTTATAACTTGCAGAAACAGGCGTAAGCCTTGAAATAACACCAATTGGAACCCACGAACCTGACTGCAAACACGTACTCGAAAATAAACACCCAACATATTTTTGACACTCTTGCAGGAGACACTTTTGACACTCTTGTAGGACACACTGTTGTGGGACACCTTGTATGACACTCACTCTTGTGGGACACTCTTGTGGGACACTCTTGTAGGACACTCTTGTAAAACACTCTTGTAGGACACTCTTGTGGGGCACTCTTGTAGGACACTCTTGGACACTCTTGCGGGCCCACGCGTCCACCCGGTCCTCCTGAAGGCTCTGTGCACTGCGCCTCCCACGAAATCTGTCCAGGTTCACCAAGTGCTGTACTTGCCACACAAAAGGCAGCCGCGGCCCAGCGGCGCCCACGCGTCCACCGGGTCCTCCTGAAGGCTCTGTGTACTGCGCCTGCCACGAAATCTGCACTCCAGGTTCACCAAGTGCAGTGCGAGCATGTGATGAGTGGTGCAAGATGAGTGAGATGTGATGAGTTGTGTAAGATGAGTGGACGGCGGAGGGCGGACGCGGACGTGGACGCGGAGCGGCGGGTGCAGAGCGAAAAAACAAGAACCCCACACAGTGATGTGGGGAATAACTTCTTATACAGAGCAAATGGCAAATAGATGCAAATGGCAAATGAATCTCCAGGTTGGATTGATGGGGTGAGTTGCATGTTGTGTCAATGATCACGTTGGAGCAGGCAAATAAATGAACTCTACCCAGGGCCTTGTTGTTGCCTAATACAACGTTGAGCCAATCTGCAGTCTGGAAAGCAAAACCGAGAGAGATCCTCCCCAAATAAATGCCTTCACCAGCACACCAGGATCATGGGGGCTGGGGGTTCACAAGCAAAGGGTTTATGTTCCAATGTTCAAGTTCATGATGCAGGTTTCCTTCTGCACGACCCCTGCTACGTAAAATTGATCAAAATCACTGCGTGGGAGTGTTTTCCAATATCAACAGGTGTCCCTCTTCCGCTTCACAGCTTCATACCTGCTGAAAAGAAAATGCCTGCTCCAAAATGACATAAACATACACAAACTGACTAATACCTTCAGGATACATCGCTCCGATCTGCCCGATCCTTCTCTCCAAAGTAGGCTGCCCAGGGATCCGAGTCTTCCAGCTGCTGTGGCGCCAAGTTCCCCCGCGCCGTTCGTGCACGCAGCCTTGACCTTGGCTGGTGGAGGCCAACCGGGCCAGGGCGACCGGAGCAACGGACTTCGGAACCGGTCTAAGTCAGCCGTCCTGTCGAACTACTCTTAACACTCCAAACATCTAATCAAACTACCTCACTCCCCCTGTCATCTTTCATCCCTCAAGCCTTCCCCCCAAACAGGTTCCAGCAGTGCCACCAGAGCACCCAGCTGCTGCCGCCTGCTCCAGGCTCGCACGCGTGCCTTGATCCCATCGGCCCGACCGCGCCCGACCGCGGGAACTTCCAGCGATCCCCTCCGGTGGCAGGGACTCGGAGCGGGGCGCGGAGGGGCGCGCGCGGCGGCCGGCAGGGCCCATGCCTGACTGAGAGAGGTCTGGAGTGTGATTCGTTCAGCTCCGGGCTCTGGAGAATCACACAGACCGCCACAAGAAGCTCAACGCGTGTCGTGTTCACGGAGAAGTGTTTTGACCACCCCTGAACAAAGAACGTCACCAAACTGAAGTAACATTCAATACATTGAGAAGGTTGAAGAAGTTTTCAGAGTCCCATCCTCACAGTCACGTTGCCAAAGCAGCTTGGGGCATCGATTGTGTGCAGGGAATCGATATGTTCGATCCTTTTAATATCTGTTAATGTAGAACAGAATCTTGATTCATCAAACCCCCGAGGCCTGACGAGGCTTTTCAATCCATGTCTACACAAAATTGTTAATCAAGATCCTAACGTTATATAATTGTACCATGCAGTTCCTATTTGAGCACTTGGAGATACTTGGAATGTGCTTCATGTTTGACCACTCCGGTCGGGGGCACCTTGACGAGGAAACCGACCGTTGCTTATCCCCGATTTGGGCGACACCCCTCTCCACGAGTTCTGGGCCCGGAAGGTCGACCACAATTGTGCAAACATAACCGCTTCAAACATGGTCGAGATCATGTGGCGATGAGCTCTGCGGACTGAACATCGGGCTTTGAAGGCAGAGGTTTCCATTGAGGGTATTAGCCTGAGCCTCACCCTGGAAGGGGCCTAGAGTGTTGGCCGAATCGTCGTGCAATGAACCTGGATATGATGGCCTCCAACCTACCTAGCGATGGCCACCCAACCTGTTTGCGATCGCCTCCAACCTAAGAGCGATGGCCTCCAATCAAAACCTGCTGTTGGTCTAAAATGTTGGAAGCTCTTTCTTCTGTGTGAGTCTGTTCCCCCAAGAAGCCCAACCCATGTTGACCAGAAGTTCCTATATTCTTTCCCAAACCAAGCCTGTTGTGGCTTATGTCCCCTTGAAATCAAGCCTTGCGCCCAGGCACCGTAAATGCCTCGGTCGATAAGCTCCACCAACGATGTGGCGCCCGAGCCCCTCGCGCCAGCAACCGTGGACGCCGGCGGCTCGTGCGGCATCTGCGTCCGCGGCTCGTGTGGCATCCGCGGCTCGTCGACCGTCTTTTCCCGGAAGTCTGGACAAGTTGACGTCCTGCATCATCGAAGCTCCAAGCGAACAGGATCACAACGAAGTAATTAACATGAAGTAACTGCAGATCTCTGGCCCAAAGAAAGTCAAAAAGGTGGACTCATACTCAGACTCTACTGCCACTATCGATTCTTGTCACCAAACCCGACGGCCGTCGTGCGTCGCTGCGCCCCAAACCCGACTGCCGTCCGAGTTGTTGGGGCTTGAGTCGTTGGCGCTTCCCGCGGTGTGGGTCTGTCAGGGGAGCTGCGCCGTGTTGGCTTTGAGGTGCCCCTGGGTGGCAGATTCATCTGGGTGGAAGAATCATCTGAGGAACCTGGTTGATTCTGAGTCCTGCGAGACACGGGGATGGAAGAATTGCTGAGATGTCTATCCTGTTCTCTGTGATGGTGGGAGGTTGAGATATGCACCCTTTTGGGTGTGAAACCAGTGAGGAATTAACCAACTGTTTGCTGCCGATGCCCCCAATGTGGAGGGAACCAGTATACATACATCATGCAGAATAATAATCTGGTCAGGGACCCAGCATTATAGGGGCACCCTCAAGGCTTTTAAGATCCAAATACCCCAAACCTGGCTTTTGATGGAAAAACAGGTGTTGGAAGGTTTTTGTTGTGGGGTGTCGCTCCAGACCTTGGGCAAACTCTTCCACACCAAACGGCCAATTGGCAGGCGAACGGATTTTCTTGCCAAGATACCGACCCAGGCGCCTGCGAGGCTCCCGCAACAGCACCAGCCCATCCTGCAGAAACAGCAAACCTCCTGGTCTTGATGAAAGAAAAAGACTGCCCCTCCCACCTGAAACCTCAAAACACCGTAAATACCAGTGCTAAAACCCTACTGTAATTATCTTAAAGGCGATGCAGGAGTTTGTCCTCCAACAGTTTCCAGTCATGATTGTCGAGGTCAACGAGAGGTATGGAGTGATGTCCAAACAAATCTAGAGGGATTTTGTATACTGCTACTGTTATTGTCTTCTAGCATTATGTTTTCTTTTTATCCTGGGAATGTTGATCTGCAACACCCAACATCCCTAGCAAAGCGGTCATCCAAACAGAGAGGCACATTGAATATTACGTACTTATAAATCTATGTTGGTCAACGAAGACGTTTTGAGGCTACTTGGCGCCAACTGCTGCCATACGTTTGAATCTGTCCACTTGAGGATGGAGAAGAAAACCACTCCTGGACCTCCTTCAGCAGTTTTGGTCTTCGCTGGTGCCGTAGCAAAAAAACAAGAAATATCAACCAAAGCAAGACCGATTATGGAAACGGTGCGTTTAAGTTCCATTACGCTCGACCCGATTCTCCGATTCAGGTGATGTTTGTTCCTTCCAGGCACAGTAAAAAAGGATAAGATGATAAAGGCAAGAAAATAAGATGAAAAGGATAAAATGATAAAAGGAAAAGGATTAAAAAAAGGGATAAGATTGACATTGGTGAAGCGGGCATCCTGTGGTTCATTCCTCAACATCACTTTGTCGGCCTCATCGGCATCATCCGCATCCATTGACTTGGCTGCATGGCACGTCAATGAAGTTCAAGTGCCATGTCTTGAGCAAGCCACATCTTCAGCTCGGCAACCACGTGTCAACCCAACTCAATCACCCGTTCCTGTCAGGTTCTTCGGATGATGCGTGACATGGGTCCGGCACACCGGGCGTCTACCCCCCGAACGAACGGACGCACTGAACGGACGGGTCGCTTCGGTCTCAAAGTCTCGAGCTTGAGCAACAGATCTGTGACAGGTGGAGATGCTGCACCTGGTGGCTCCACAAAAAAAGGTACTGGTCAAAACCATGCATTCTAGGAACACCTGGCCCGGTGCAGGACCCCTGGGGAGGAAGAGGGAAAGAACATCTTGTTCTTATGATGTCCGAAGAACCTAGCGGAACATGTCGCCACGCCTATCCTTACTTCATCCGCGAGACGTCCCTACCCCCCCCCCGCATCCCCGGCCCATTTCAGCGATCCCGGTGGCGCACCCGGGGGGGATGAGACATGCCTGGCAGGCGGCCTTGGGGCCTCGAGCTTCCTGCCTTTGACTTGGTGGAAGAAATTCGGAGCACCCCGCGAACAGGGAACACATGGGAGCTGTTTTTCGGTCTTAGAAGAAACATTTCAGGGGTAAAGGCTCCAGATTTGGATGGATCGATGAATTTCGACGCATGGCACAACCATGTTCTAGATGATAGAAAATACATGAAAATACAGTACCGCCTTCTGGGAGACGCTACAAGGCTTATAGAAGGAACGTTTTCAATTTACCTACTAGTAGTCTGACACACCAGAAGGTTGGCCGCCAAAGGTTGCGGACGAGTCCCTTGACTGATTCTTTGTTCTACAGTATCCCTTCACTGATTTGTGCTACGGCGCTAGGAAAGGTTCAGAAGCTGAACGGCCCTGACTGTGCCACCAAACCCTGGGTTTGCCAGAACCCGAGGTGTAGTTCTGTTTGTAGCTGTACTGTAGCTACATTTGGAAGATCCTCCAAAGGAAAGGTGCATCCAATACTTTGGCCCATCTAATGCTCGATTCATAAACCCTCCGCCCATACATGGATTATAACACCTCTTCAGGCCTGGGGGGGTTGACATATCATCAAGAGTCTACAAACTGAGTCGTGCTCGACTCTGAACTTTGAGGCCGGTCGATCTTCCGACCGGTCGATCTTCCACCGGACCTCGTCACTCCGTCACTCCGTTGCTCATCACACCGGTCGGGCATCGCCGGGCCGCCCGGCCGCTCGCCAGACGGCCTCGGAGTTCTCGGGGCCTCGGTCGCTTGCGGAGTCGAAGGGGGCCAGGCGACCGGTTCGCCGGGCGAAAAAGACACCTGTCCTAATGGCAAACAAGCTGTCACTTCTACTTCATCATGCTTTTTGCAACGAAAGTACACGCTATATATAGACCTATCTTACAAATTATGCGGACACTTCATGTTGTCGATAGATGGCATGGCATGGCTTTTTCAGCAAGGGACGTGTTCGACCAAACGTTGGTCTTCCCATGTCCACCCGTTCCCACGGGCCTCGGGGAACTGGACGTGGCTCGCTGCTTTCTCCAGGGCGCGGTGGGTAGAAGGATTGCATCTTCGAGAAAAGCACGGCAATGGACGGAGATGACCACCCTCTGGTAGGAGGACAGTTTACCTCTAGAGTGAACTCTCCATGCTTCACGTTGCCTAGGCAGTTTTTCGTCGATGGGCTGCTCTTGTCCCCCTATCTTCCGGTGCATGCCTATGTGCCCAACAAGCTTGGTTGCTGTCAGCAACCAATGTCTCTTCTGACAGCGAACGAACGAACTGAACGGCTGCTGAACGGCCATGGTAAAAGCTGAGCCACCAGAAATTCAGAGCCACGAATCAGGAAGAGTACTCCAAGAGCTGTGCGAGGCTTGAAGAGCTATGTGAGTAATTGCTCAACTCAAGTGTCATTGAGAATTTTGAAATGCATTGGCCAAGCAATAGAAATGCTGATTCAAATCTTATTCCTATCATGTAGCCACAAGAGTCAACCAAGTCAACAGAAAAGTAAAGTGTCACCCGTCCAAGCTCATGTCGGAACTGAACACAAGAGAAACCTCTGCTCTCACAAGGTGAAACCTCGGTTCAAGCACCAACGCTTATCAAAGCAACGGTATAACCTGACAGCAGCAACGGTACAACCGGTATACTGTATGAACAACCGTCCTATGGAGTGGCTAGTAGTAACAGGTGCCACGCTAGTAGCAACAAGTGCCTTACTAGTCGTAAATGGAGTGTCTATCCCAGGTCTATCCCAGGTCTATCCAGCACTTCCCCAGATCGGTGACTCCATGGCGCCTTCACGTCATGTCAGACGAAAATGTCTGTGTGTATCGAAATAGGGAGACCTCCGTCGACCCCCGGGGTTCCCTTATTAAGATACACATACCCTAGAAGTTCAAGACCATGTTTAAAGTGGCTGATGTGGTTTTCTAGGTGGAAATCATGTAACATCCTTAGTAAAGCGATGGATGTTCGGTAAAGGATATCAAATAGACGGTGGTTCGACTTCTAGGGCATGTGTCATCATATGTCAGTCCCAGACAGGTCGTGTCTGTGCCCTGCTTTCTGGCCAGGTCGATCCCGCCCATAAAACCGTCCACGAAAGGCGGGAGCAGGCGTCGACTGCGTCCCTGATATGTTTGCAAATAAATCACATCCAGACGTGTCCGGTCTGGCGTATTCTAGAAGTACACATGATCTATCTTCCTTCAGCACTCTGGCCCAAGTCCTTCAGCACTCTCGCCCAAGTCTTCCTTTTTCATCCAGCTTCACATTGGCATCAGGAGACGATGTAACGCCCCGTGGGAGGCAAGGCCACGAGCCTCTGGAGCAGCGACGCCAGCCCGGTCAGCCCAGTGGGAAAGAACGGAAGGCTTCGATGACTTATTCTATAGATCTCGGTGGCCACAAGTACTCAGTCCTCCAAAACGAATATTCATTACTGCAAGTGTGCTGAAATGCCAGGGTCGACCGAGTCCTGGTTTCATGGGTCGATGTCTTCCGTCCGGATTTCAGCAAAGGATCGGGGTGAAGAAGGTGACACGGTCTTTGAGTGTTCAAGTGCTTGGTAAAGGCCATGGTTGTTCGGTAAAGGACCATTAAAAAAAGGATGCTTAAGCCAGGGCGGCCAGGGCGGGGCCAGGGCGGGCCGCCAGGGCGGGATATGATTTGAGGGTATACATCGGAATCGGTATACTGTAAGTGTACAAAGATCCAGTCTGGTCCAGTGTGCGCTTTTGGGAGGCTTGTGATGTTGATTCCCAGCTTCGGCAGGTTGAATTCCAAATGCAGCAGGGAACCGTACCCTCTTTCAGGGGTGAGGAAAGCAGTGAAGCAGTTCAGACATACACACCCTTTCGCCCCACCGCGAAAGAAAAAATACGCAGAACCGGAAGACACATGTTTTTGCCCGACATCAACGGCATCGCAGCTCCTCACCGCCGGAGCCCGTCGCAGCTCGTCACCGCCGAGCGCGGTCCAAGTGGCTGCTGCGTGGCTTCCATCTCGGGCCTCGCCCGAGCAGCTGCGAACGACGCGGCGGGACGACGTCCGGAACATCCGCCGAATAGAAATGGACATCGGCCTTTTGTGTGGACGTACCAAAGGAATTGGAACACTCTCACCCTGGAAAATCGTGGGCCTGGATGGCATTGGCTCCGGCAGACTCGGAGGACCCCGAGTCTTCCGAAGACCAGACAGGTGGTGGTGTTCACTCCACTTCCATGAGTCTTTCAAGGGAGTGTCTTAGTTTGAGGGGCTCCTCTGGGTCACACCAACTCACCCGAGAAACAACTCACACGGATACCCACCTCGGATACCCACCAACCACAAGGCACCAACTCAGAGGATTGGAAGTTGCACGAGGTAACTGCGATAAGATCTGCAGCATGGGTAGATTGGATGCCTCTAAAAACGTGTGATGCTTGAGGTGGATGAAGGATGCGCATGAAGTCTGGGAGGAGAGGAAAGCTCTCAAAGCTCATAGTGGTCAAGCGTCAAACACTTTTGAAGACACTTTTGAAAACATCCAGAATCCAGATGCTTCAGCTTTGTAGCCCTGGTCTTGATTATTTATATACAGTAAATTTCTGAAACATGAGCGACTGCCATGACTTCACCAATCACCATCAAGACCTTCTTTTTTGCTCATCACTTGAGCTATCTTAAGCTCAACACATTAAAGGACAGCTGGTTCTTAGATGCTGAATATAGATTCTCTTCACCTTTCCATCTATTATATATCAGGTGTTGCTTCTTGGCTTCGTCTTCGCCCACTTCACTTGCCCCCTCGGCTCAAACCCAGCGGCGGAAGGTGTGGGCCGGAGAGGGGCTGTGGACGTTGAGCCTCGGCCATCCGAAACCACAAGAAGGAACGACCCGCATGGTCAGTGGGTGCGAAATATTTGTCAACATGGGGACATGCAGATTAGCCCCCCATGTCCGTGCCCAACTGTCAAGAAGAGTTTTGGGGTTCATCCACCTATAAAAGAGTTTTCCTCCACAGCCTGAGAATCTCCCTTGTCAAGTCAGTGGTACCTCTGGCTGCTCCCCTGCCCACTAGGTGTTAAGTTCGCCAAAATTGGCAGGCCCTTGCCAATGCCCCAGACCAGGTACCCCACCCATGGGATGCAACAGCGGCAACAACTATTCAATTCTAGTGACCAAACTGCAATTGGTCTGTTTGTTCTCCAATGTTCATGCCACCAAAACTCTGGGTATATGTATTTAAGCGTTTAACATCCAGTGCTGGTAATATGCGGTGCACTGAATGGAGAGACCCCAGGGAAAAGGATTAAGAATGCATGCCCACAAAACAAAATAACAAAAAACAAACAAAGGAAATTGGTATCTTAGGGTTTTAGTTGGAACTTTCCTCACCTCGCAGCCTGGCCTTCTGCACAACACTTGAAGGTGTGCTAATGGTCATCATCCAGAAATCAAAGTTGAACGGAGTTGAACGGATCAAACCTTGCAAGCTCAGCAAGTAAGCAATCTATTTGGGACCTCAATAAGTCCAGGCAAGAATCTGTTCTCATCTTCTAGTATCTCAGATAGTATCTCTCCAGAATCCTTACCTTCCTCAGACCCTCCACCCACCCCCACCGAGACACCGTGAGTGGTAAGCGCATGAAGCTTCCTGGAGCCTGCGCACGAGTGGCGCACGAGTGGCGCTTTCTGGGGCCGGGCTTTTGCTGGGTCGGTGTCAAGTTAAGTTTACATTGGTTTCAGAGTAGATGGCACAAGGGCCCCCCAAGTTCGCTGGTTTATATGGACCCCCTCTTAAAAAACATCTTGTGGGCCCCGTGCCATCGAGCCTCTGAAACCAAATGCGAAAAGATGGGAAGATGGAACGAGGGCTGAAGCCGAGTTCCACGCCTGAGTGATGACATCACTGTGATGTCCTCACATGTCCTCACACGAGATATTTTCTCATCAATTAGTTTTGATAAAACCACAAAATCGATAAAGAAGTGAATCCGTCTTGGAAACTCGTTCTAATTTGGGGACCATCATAGCTCATGGAAGTGCAAGAAGTTCTTGATGGATAGGGCACTCCGGAAAATGTTCCATCACCAGGTTCATAGCTGAGGCTGAGAGCGTATAGTAAAAAATCTGGAGTCAAAATGAAGGGGTTACCCTGAAAGCAAAAACTGAACTCAAACTACTGCTCTAGCAAAATCCATGCACATCATACATGGGAGTTACACAACACAAACACGGACAGGCACTTCACCGGTCAGAACTGCTGTTGGATTCAACCCGGACCATCCCGTTTACGCCCGGGATCTTGTTTCATCCAACGCAGGGAGAGGCACGGAGCTGTTAGCTCACCTCGCTCTGGGGCTGGTCAAACACCTATCGCCTGTGGGCACGGAGCGCCACAAAGCGCCGCAGCTTCTGCCACACCCCGCCCCCATTGGAGTTCCAAGAAAACGAAGGAGACCGAAGGCCTCATCGGATTCCGGACCCGTCCGGACCGCTCCCACCGGATCCTCTCAATATCCTACGCACGGGTCACGGTGCACGGGTCCCACGGGTCGCCTGGAAGCCCATCTTGTTGCTTCGAGATTCCAACTTCCGCTGCTCCCAGGGCATCAAAGGCTTCTCGACCGATTCCGGCTCCTCCCATAGCGCCGCAGAGTGAGCGAGCTTGAGGGAAGGGCGTGGTGGCATCAGAGACGACAAGCTTCAAGTCATTTGAAGTCAACAAAGCCGCCATGGAAGGACAACTGCAGCAACCGCAGCAACTACGAGTCTTTCTAGGCGTGCAAAGATGTCCAAATGCTCTTTCTGAGATGAGTGATTTGAGCTGTTGCGATTCGTCCGCTGTATATCCTCCAGAACTGAAAGTCCCATCCTCCATATCCTTCACTATAGTGAAGCTGTCACGGTTCGGGTGTCACCCGGGCCAGCAAAATCAAAAGCCCACTCTCCCTCCTAGACTCCTAAGTGGACAACTCCCTGTTTGGTATTCGGAACATGGTCTTTCCAGGGGCCATGTTCATCCCATCTTCCACTGTGGACAACCCGTGATTGCGGCAAAAAGGGCACCTCCAACAATCAATTGGAGACTGTCGGCGGATCAGACGAAAGCACCGACATCGGCATCGCTTCACTGACCTCGCGAAACATCTCGCGACCTGGGACGTCGCCTGTTTACGCCGCGACCCGGGTTGACTCACGTCCTCCACATCTTCCTCCACCTCTTGCATGCCTTGAGTTCTCCTCGGAAAAAGGAAGAGAAACGCCGAAACGATCGGTTCGTGGGATCGGGGATTGGACAGGAAAGGATTGATGTTTATACTAAGCTTTTTCTTGAGGATGACTCTGGAGATTGGTCTTCAAGAAAGAGCTCTGTTGCACCAAATGGTATATTAGTATGTGGAAGATATATATTCTCCAAATACCAGGTTGATATGAGCGGACTGGGCGCTGCAGAATGTCTTCCATCAATTGCAGGAGACAGCTTTCTTGGACGTCACCTTGGACAACCTGGCGCATGCCATGCGATCTTTTGCCTGCAAGCCAGGCAAGCCAGGCTGAATCCCCATCCCCTTCTGTGCCTGTTCAGCCGATCAACCAGAGCAAGAACAATTTCCACAATGGACTTAGGAGTGAGAGGCCCGGGATATTCGATCTTTCATCCATCCCAAAAAAACACACCATCCCAGGAGCCTCCCTCACCCGTCCTCGCATGTCGCTTGCGAGCACTTTCTTTCGGCTTCTTTTTGCCCACCTCGGTCACTTCTCGGAGCGCGGGAGAAACGTCGCGCTGCAACCGGAGGATTTGGATGATGTTCCTTCCAAAAAGGAGGCGACGGGAGGAATGGAATGCATCTGGTAGCAGCAACCTTTCGAAGGGTGTGGAAACCATGTTCCACCATGTCCCACAAAACGCATCACTTCGGGCAGTGAAGTGACATGAAGAAACCACTTCAAATGGCAGCCGAAAAGTCCAACGTCAAGCAGTATGAGCTTGTGCCCAATCAAGTCCGACAACTCCTGGGCGTCCCAGCCAACATGCAGCTCACCAAAGAGACCAAGATGATCGCACCTGGCGCGGAACGCCCGTCGAACACCCACCAACAGGCCACTACGGCGAGTGGCCCTCCGCATCCGACAGTGACCGGCAGAGACCGGCGGGTCGGACTCGTCGGGTCGGTCGGAACCTCCAAGAAGAGACCCTTTCCAGCCCAAGTACAGGATCTTGGTGAAGTGCGCGACCAAAAGACAAAAAGTGAGTGCAAAGAATGCGTGTTGCATCAATGTGAACCCGAGGAAATCCCGACTCTGCGATGCTGATGATGTGGCTTGCAACCTGTTTCGGTGTATGGCACCATATGTGAGCCACACATACAACAAACAAACAAACAAACAAACAAACAGTCAGAAAGGGCCATACAACGATCAGCAGCAATACTTCGTAGCTCAACCCCCCCGGAAAACAGGATCGATGAATCGATGACGGTGCTTTGCCCTGACCGGTCGACTTGGACGAGCATCCGGAACGGCGTGAGTCTACGGTGAGGACCGCAACCGGAGGACTGGGAGGACTGAGGATTTGGTGGCTCGAGATGGGAGACGGGCCCAGGGCCTGCGCCTAAGGGCCACCAAAGCCAGGAGTTGCTACCTGAGATCATGTGCGGCAACGAAAAGATCGAACTTTGTCTCATCATCTAGTCAGGGATCACGGCAAATTCTCTTGACAGATCCAGTCCTCTAAGAAGTGAGCTTGTTCTATCCTCATGTAGCTTCACATGAACAAAGTTCGAGTTTACCTTCACATGGCCCCAACAAACTTAGAGTTATCTACAAACACAAGACCAAGAAACAAAGCATTCAAAGAATGATTGCAAATGAAACCATGGAGCTTCCTTGACGCGCGCGCGGTCTCGTGTGTCGGTCTCGACTGAGAGTTCTTGCGAAGTGGCACGCAGCTTGACCCGGTGACGAGCCGAATCGGTTCCAAGAGTCGGTGCCAACCAGAGAGTGGCCCAACATGGCCAAACCACCACAAATGACGTTCAAAGGATTCAAAAAAAAAAAAAACACACCCAATAGTCACCGGAGTGTCAACATGTCACCGACCATGCTGTATCCGGTGTTGAAGTATCCGGTCAAAGGACAAACAGGTCAAAACCGCCACGGCGCCACCCGCGCCTGCGGATGGCACGGATGGCACCTGGAGACCGGCCAGGTGAGACCGGCCGTGTCGGCCGCTTTTGAAGACAGCGGCAGCTTTGGCGTCGGCGTTCACCCCGCAGCAGGTTGGGAACTCTTTGGATCTATTCAGGTCCAAAAAGGAGTTCTCAAAAGTCACGACCCCAAAAAGAAGGAAGGCTCAACTCAATAAAAACACTTCGAATGAAGTCTTCGAATTGAATGATGTTCCATCCGAAACCAGAAAGAACAACTCCAAATGTTGACTCTTCAAGACTCCATGACTGTCTGTTTTCCGCACGCGCCACATCCTGCCTGAGGGACGGTCACACCTACGGTCACGCCAAAAGGGACGCGTGACCGAGAACACGAACGAGACACGTCTGTGTTTGATGCAAGCTGCGTCCAAGTGAGTGGAAAAGCTTCAATGAAAGCCTTCGTTTCACGCAATCCAAAAGCTGGTTGAACTACTATATATATGTAGTATATTCCCTCCTGCCGGTCCGTCCAATCGAAGCGTCCATTTGAAAGAAAGAAAGAAAGAAGTATATCCCGGAAATCTCTGCTACCTGAATATGTGGGGGGGGTGCCAAGTTGGGGCTCCTGCGGTGGACATTCCTTCGATTGTGAAGTCGCCCAAAAAACACAACCTTCGCAAAGACCAGCCTATCACCATGACTTGTCATTACCTCCTTTGTCTCAGATGGTTCAAACGAGGCATCAAACCGTCAAAACGATCTTTCACCTGCCGCACTAACTCCGCAAGTAGGGTTCAGGGTTACCCAGAGACTTCCAAGAATTGACATGGAGCTACTCAGATTTGGCCGGATGGTTTTTTGATGTTGCAATTTGTGCTGAAGAAAAGCGAAAAGTACTGCAGAAGGAGACAGCACAACATGGTTCAATACAAACAAAAATCAAACACGTTCAGTACAAAGTTGCTCGAATACTGCAATACTGCTGATGGAAAACCTCCGGTGGCCAAACCACCTTTTCTGCAGGCCAAACCCAAGGCCTTCAAGGTAAAAGCTTCCAGCGAGTGTGTTCGTCCAGTGTCATTGGGGTTCTTCCAGCAGTGCGAACCAAGGCACCTCCCTACAAACGGTGGTTCCTACAAGTTGAACAAAACGAAACCACCGAAGCCACCAGGGGAAACTCCGGTTTTGCGAGGCAGTATGTGGGCATCATAGGTGGTGCCAGGATGTGCCAGTGTCTTTCTTCCTTCGTTCAATGCTGGCAACCCTTATATATGTCAGTAAAGATCCTATGTCAGGGTATTACCCGCGTTGCCATACTCTTCTGAGGCTTGTAAAGACTTCATGCGTAGGGATGATCTTCCGCCTTCGAATTAGGAACTCCACAACATCACTCGTGTTCAATGGAAAGCAAACACTAACCAACTCCGGAGGTCTCTGCAACACAAACCCAATAGATTTAGAATAACAATGATTCAAACTATTCAAACAGCCCTGGAAAAGGAACCAAACACTGGAAACTTCCCCCCCGGCTCATTATCAAGTTCAGAGTAGAGCCAAAGATTGCCTAAGCCCCAGTTTTGCTGCTATTCAAAAGTTTTATCAGATTGGGTGCCACTACAGTGACTCTACCTCCCTTCTTCCTCCAATACTCACCCTCTTCATCTGCCCTTCCTCACCGAACCACCCAAGCACCGCCTGTCACGGGAAGCGCCGTGGTGGCGGCCGCGCTGGGTGCGGCTGTGGTGGCCCCGGTCGCCGTGGTGGACAGGCAATGCTTGGGTCCGGAGACCGCCTGGAGCAGGACAAGAGTGATGTGGAAGTGGTGGAAGCATAGTTTTACAGGTGTTTCATCTTCAATCTACTTAAGATTGGTGTAGATCACAAAATCATTCTTTGGATGACTTTGGTGCCCCTTTTGTCATTTATACTCTGCCCTCTGTCGAACATTTGGTGCTTCTGTCCCAGCCTTGGGCGACATCACCAGGCTGGAGCCTTTGCCCAACCAGCAGCCATGGGTGTCCGTGAACCTCGGCAATACATTGGCATCGCCGATCACATGCGATCACCATGCGACGCGGCGCGTGCGTCGTTCCCGGACTCGACCAGGTGACCAAAACGGCGCAGAGACGAAGCAGAGCAGAGCACGGTGAGGACGGTGGATGTTTCTTCGGGAAGGAAGCCAGGTAGAGAGCCGTCTCCTCGTGGCCAGCACCGGTGGCATGCACCGGTTTCGCCCGGGGGGGTGCTGTTTCACAGCGCAGGGTCACAGCGGTGAGCAGGTCTGCAGCCAGGGCACCAAGTAAAGTGCTCGCACATCGGATTGCTGGCACAACTGTTCCTGAGTGAGCCGCAATCCGTGTTTGTTTGACCTGGCTGCCTTAAAAGGTACTGTAGCTGTTGTGAATCAACCTGCTTGTGTTTCATCACAGACCGCCAAAAGTGCCTGATGCGCCTGCAACGGGGGTCCTTTATCTAGACATGAAAGAAGGACTTCGCAATCTTGTTTCCCCCACTTCGGCATGTCAATGTCAATTCCACTTCCGAGAAGATGCTGTCACTGACGGTGGAACACACCGCAGCTGTGTTCGTCTCGGGTATCCTCAAAACGTGGAACTCGTCTCGGGTATCGTCCTTTCTTTCCGCTGTGTTCGTCTGAGGACATGGGGGAAACCGTTTCAAACGCAAAAATGCTCAAAGGTGATCCTTTTCCGAATTTCCTGGGTAGAAAAATCTGCGTGCAGCGGCTGTTGCTCGTGCCTACTAGGCTCCATCGCACCTCTGCCAGTATAGTTTACTAGGGTGAAATGTGGATGTAATGATCCGTATTTGTTGACAAACAAGTTTCTGCAAGACCTAGATTTCGCTAACGACCTAAGAGCTAAGGCAGCTAAGGCTAAGGGGTTGAGAGATGAACAGCCACATGATGGGATCTACTTCTAAACTTGCAAGGATGAAACTGGAAAGGTCCTGTCAACTTGCCTCAGCAGGGTGAGACGGATTCCGCTCACCGGCTCACCGGCTCAGAGAGCCAAGATCACCACGGACCGTCCAACCCAACCTCCAGGGGACGACCAAGCCGTCCCAAGCCTTTGGTCGCCCGTGATGGGCTTTCCACTGGACTCACCAGTCCGGTCCCTCCACTTCGCCACGCACGACTCACTCCCACCGTCGCGCCATCCGTCCGACACCGGCGACGCTTTGGGCCCCAGGAGCTGACACTGCAGGGCATCTGTCAAGAAGGCGCCGTTTGGCAGTGCGGGCGCCTGCGCGGTGGCATCTTCATACCTCGGCGTCGTCTGACTTGAGGGGCTTCAATCAGGCAAAATAATGGGGCTCCCACCGGCTGGAGTGAGGCTGCAGTGGTGTTAACTTAAGAATGCCGCTTTATTGAGCAGCCTTGTTTGGAAATTGCGAGAAACAAGAAGGAGGAGCCATCTTTGAAAAGGGTTTTGATGAGTTCAGTCGAAACATTGAGCTCAAGAACCAAGCTGGTCGTCTTCATGTCCATGTTTGAACTAATTGCTTCAACCATCAAACGTTCTTATTCTGATTGCAAGTCACGAAGCAACCCAACTTTGTAACCTCAATGCTCCTTGTGGTCTTCACACTCGCAGGAGATGCAGCTCTTGGAAGGGCCGTGGAGCTTCGACGGGATGTGCATCGCTAAAATACTGGTCGAACGCGACCCTGGCGTAGACCCTCTGAACATGGGAGAGGGACAAGTCTTCCAAAGCCCCAGATCCAAGTGATGTCTTAGATGGAAAACGACCGTTTCCTTCTGCCAGATGATGGACGCAAAAAACGAACATCTTTTAGGAAAATGATGAAAACGATGATCATGTTCTCTATCTGTCCTAACTGCCTGTTCCATATCAGCTGGGCAAACCTTGCACGTTCCTGACGCTCCATCGGGTGAAATAGTGCCGTGTCCTTATCCATGCAGGATCCCAAGTGCCGAAAGAATCTCACTTGCCAGACCTTGTGCTCATTGAACCCCTTGGCAACAACATGACTCACTGAACAGCTGCCAATATGAATATGATTTTTTTTCAAACATGGCAGGGAACCTGCTAACCTTGTGTCCTCCCAACTTCTTAAGGTTTATGTTCAACACGGACGTTGAGCTGCGTCAAAGTTACTTCTGCTGCTGCATGTCTAAACATTCTAAACTCTGTTGTCTGCTTTTCCTTGCAACTCTAAGTCTGCAACACCACCCACGCACAAAACGACGCCATCGCCACCCCTAAACGCCGCACCCAGCGGCGCTTGGCCGAAGGTGGCGCAACTCACCGTCGCGCTCGGTGCCTCGCCCGGAATGTTTGCCGCGACCGCTGGCAGCCTTAGCGGTTGCGGAGGCTGAGGTCGGTCGCGGATGGTCAGTGACGGGAGCGATGAAGGACCGGGAGCGATGCTTTTGGACGTTGAGGTTAAGCAACCGAATCCTACAACTAGAATTTTATAATATGTTATATGAAATTAGGTATATTTCTCTCAGAACTCGAATCCTAAAGACTTCGAAATACCTTCCTTCAGTATCCCAAAGCAGTCTTCCCCAAAGCAGTCTTTGTCAGAAAGTGAATCCATCCAGGTCGCGGAGTTGCCAGTCTCCAAGGTTGAAAAGCTTATCTTTAAAAAAAGCTTATCATTCTGCATGAACACCTGAGTCACCTGACCTGGATCATGAAGAAATGTGACTGACCCCATCAGTATCCCTGGAAAATGGAGCTTTATATAACCACCCGTTAGGATTGTAGTGGCGAAACCAATCACCCACAAAAAGCTTCAAGGTTGTCCACGTTTCATGGGTAGGATGAGGAACCTACTTCTAGACCGACCTCGAAACACGGTGCGTTCCAAAGGTGCTTGCTGTTCCCTCTCTCCTCCCATGCGCTCCACGAGTTCGCGCCACTCCTCCGAGCTGCAAGGCCAACACCGAGCGGCCTGGAGCATCTGATCGCGACCCGATGACTCCGACGGCGGAAGCAGGGCCCGCTGACACCGCTGACACCGACGAGTGAGTCATACTTCCGTTCAAAAACGTTGTCCAAAGGCAGCGGAAGCGCCGCGGTTCAGCGAGGAAGGTGCCGACTGAGGTTTTTCACTGCGTACGCAGTCGGAGCTGGGCAGGCTTCACTGTAGCTTCACTTGCCAAGGCCACAAAAGCGTCCCAATGGCATAGTAGCTTCTTGTTACTACAGGTGAAACGATTCCCAGTGAAACGATTCCCAAGGAAGCTTCTCGCTACTAGTAGCTTCTAGCTACTAGAAAGCTTCAAAGACCTACTAAAAAGCTTCTTAAGACTAGTAGCTTCAAAGACCGTTCCTAGTAGCTTCTTGTTACTAGTAGTAAGGCACTTGTTACTAATAGCTTCTGGCTCCTAGTAGCGATGCACTTGTTTCTAAATAGCTTCTTGTTACTACTAGTAAGGCACTTGTTACTAGTAGCTTCAAAGACCGTTCCTAGTAGCTTCTCGCTACTAATGCATGTGCCGCAAGAGATCGCTTGCCCCATCGCGAATGGTCGCGCGACGACGCCAACGCTACCGCTGGGTGGTGCAACAACTGCTCTGCCCAGAGCGTTTGCGTCGTCGCCGTGTGCGCTTGCGACGACGCTCTGCCAAACCACTGGTCCTGTGGTCCAAAAGACTCGACTCATGGCAACGACTGTTCAACGGCTAGAAACTGTCCAGACCATCCTCATTACGCCTCATGCAGTCTGGGTCCACCTCCTGTTTGCCTCGGTGGTTCAAAGGCAGAGATCACCAGCCCCTCAACCGAAGAACCAACTCCCTGGCCACAGACGGGAGTTGGGAGGTGAAGAAGAACCGTGGTCTCTCTCTTCCCGTGTTTCACACCAAAATGAAGTGAGCACGTGGAGGTGAAGCATGGTGAACGAATCTGAAGAAAACCGCTGCCCAAACATCCCACCTCTGCGCGTCATGAAAGCTTCACTGATCACGCCGCGGTGGAAGTGTAGGGCCCCGGCATGAGGACAAAGAGAAGAAGACTGGGTGACTGCCAGGATGCAGAGAAATTGATCGAGCATCCTCCAAAAAGGTGGATTGTCACTCTGGTGGTGGGCTAAACTGAGAAGGGCCGTCATGGATGAATGGAGGATCTCCAATGGGATCCCTCGAAGACTCAGGTCTCTCAGCCATGCAGTTCTAGGTCGACTAGGTGAGCTAAGACTGAATCTACTGTTGGGCTAACGGCTAACGGCCAACAATGTGTGTGTGTGTGTGTGACCTCCCTCTCATCGTACCTGAAATTATAAGTATAAGTAAGACCTAGTCGCGTGTCAATTGTTATGCTCTGAATTTGAACGTTTCTAGTCTGTTCTCACGATGTAGCTGGTACAGCCGCAGTGTGTCGACATTGAGCCGCTCGCCACGCACGGCAAGCAAACCAAACGAATCTACATGTCTGCACCAAATCATGTTCTGATGTCCCACTATCTGGTCTTGTTAGCCGAATTGACCACAAAAGGATCGTCTGCCACCAGCAAAAAGAGCAAACTGCTATGTTCCCAATGATCTGCCATGTCTGTTATTTTGTTACATGAAATGATGAAATCAACTGCAACAAAGAAGCCTGTTTCATGGTGACCGTTCACTTTGCCTGCCTGGACCTCAACTGTTGTCCTCGCGAAGACCAGACCCGTCTGGCCCGATCGCTGGGTTACCCATGCGAACGCCAGCGACCGGTTCCGAGGTTCGATTCCAGGGAAGTTCCGATTTTCAGGTCCAGGTGGAAAGCGAACTTCATGTTATGACGTCGTCGCTTTACATTTGACGAGACTCGTCGACGAGTCGAGCGAGCGAGAACGCGAGCTAGCGAGCGAGACCAACACCCCCGCGTTGCAGTCGGAACGAGGCTCTGCAGTTACGCAAGAGCCTCGACCCACGTAGCGGCCCCAAGAGCAGGCGACCCACGTGGAGGGTCGTCGACGGGACTTCCGACTTCCGCGGGCGAGGAAGGTCCCGACCCATCGGGCGGAGCTCCGACGAATCAGACCGAATCAAACGAATCCGCCTCCCCCAGGCCGCGGGTCCGATGGCGCTGTCCGATGGCCGCGGGTCCACAACCAGAATACCTTGTTTATTTTTCTAGCTGGGAGGTCGTTTACCTGGTGAACTGGTCTGGGCTCCAGGGCTCCAAGTTGAAAGACCCCTCACAAGGTGTCCACTTTCCAGGCCACATCGCCCACCTCGGGACGGCCACCCTTTGCCCCCCTTTTCCGGCACGGAAAAAGTCGATGTCGCGGCATTGGCGTCGATGTCACGGTGTAATAGATATGCAGCGGTGAAGAGCCTACGCCATTGATTCACTCGTTTTTGGGTCCAGCATCGGCCAGAGCCTGGGGCCTAGTCATCTTGAAAAATGCACCAAGAATTGGAGAAGAGTCTTGAACAGTTCCAGCCCACAATACCATGGTTTGGTGCGCCCTTTTTTCCAACAGGACACAAGATTGACTCCTTGCTGGTCCGATGAGGCACCAAGTTTTGGTGAATCCACGTGGCGTCACTTGCATGACATGCAAGGCTCGCCTCCAAGGCGATTAAATTCCGCTCTCCTTTGAAGTGAAGGAACTCGAGGAAAGAAAGCAAACTTCAAACCAAAGCAAACATCCAAAGGACAGAACAGTGATGGTTGTTTGTACTGTTTGCACACTTGGTCAAATTCTCAAGCATATGGAAATACACCTGCAATATACTGTAAATACCTGAGTCACCACCTTCAGGAATCCGATGACCCTTGTTCAGAGGGAAGTTCTCGGCCGCAAAAAAAAGTTGTCGAGACCAGCACCTCAGCTGACCGTCGAAGCTGACCGTCTAAGCTGAGGGAACCCAAAACTGCTACAGTGGTTTCTAGTTTCATTTCTTCAAAATGGATTTTGCTGGACCATGATGGTTAGTGGATGATGGTTAGTTCTCGCAATGTTTACCCACTGTTCCAGGCTGGATTTCCCCCTTCCAAGAGCAGCCTCCAAAGACCAACACATGGAGCGGTCCCCTGGGTATGTCTCGAAGCTGCTGTGGCCCACAAAACTGGTTGATCAAAGGAAGAAGTAGACCAGAACGCGTGGAGGTTACCCTTTTTTCTAATCCCTCTTTCCCGTGCCGGATCCAACCCATTCACTTTAGAGGTTCGGTGACAGAACTTCCTCACGCACCCGCTCACGCCAGGCTGCCCAGCGCTCGAAATCAGGCTGCTCTCACCTGAGTCGGAGCCCCTCTCGAGTGCCGGTCCTGAACCTGGAGCTTTTCTTTGAGAAGCTAGCCGCTAGCCAGACTTCTGGTAGGTCGATGAAGAAGAGCTGACTGTCCCCCTGTGTACAACCCCAAACCACTCGCAGTTGTTGGCCGCTTCCAAATGTCTGGAACTGTTTTGGTTAGGTGATCACTTACCATCTACGTGCACTTCCGCAAAACTTGCCTAGCCTTGGAACTGCATGGAACAGTGGAAAGGACGCCAGCCATCTCGTCCGTTCCATCCAGTTGGACTCCTGAGAAGACCTGAAGTAGACGACTTCAGCCACACCGAACCATTGGGCCAGGGGGTCTGCCACATGTTGTTCACCTGTTCTGCTCACAAGTCCCATCAATTCCCGTCAGTGGATCATCAGCACGTACAATCAGAAGAGGGTATGTGCACGACCCGGGTCGTGGTTCACGGCCGCCACGGCCGCCACTCAGCCACTCAAGACCCTGAGCGGCCACTCAGCCACCCAGCCACTCAAGATCCTGAGTGGCTGAGTGGCTGAGTGGCTGACAAGAAGAAAAGCCTGAGTGGCTGAGTGGCTGACAGGAAGAAAATGCACATTTCCACGTACAATCTCTAAGAGAGATCAGAATAGACGCACCCACACACCTTAATTACCACCCAACCTTATGAATCCTTATGAGCTGTTGTGGTCCTTTTCATGTCTTTTTCATTCTTATTACCTCAAAAACACCCCGGTGGACCTCACACCCACATGTTCACCCTGCCTTCCCCAAGAAACGCCCTCTCTCCAGCCAAAGGGGCATGCCATGTCGCGTCAGCAACGCCTCGAAGTCGCGAAACCTCGCGATCGGCGCGAACACGGAGACCGCGCGGGAGACCGCGCGACGCAAAACTGCGCGCCCAGTCGTGGGGGCCGATCGGCGCAGGTTCCTGGAGGCAGATGGAGGAAAGCAAGTGAAAGGAAGAAGTGGAGGAAAATCCATGTCAGCCAAGGAGGTATCAGCCATCATGCCTCCGTGCCTCCATGGTCAGGGTAAAACCCGATGGTTTTTCTTGGTGTTCGATCGCGCCAAAGTCCTTCGACCGGTCGGCCAGGTTCACCGGACTGGTCCTTTGTTTCTCCCGTGCGGGGAGGGCAAGCAACCAGGGTTTAGGAGCTCCATCGTGCAGAGTCACTATACACCCCTTTGTTATTGGTGAGCAGGTATGAAAGAGTCCCAGGAATTCCCGAGAGGTTGGTTCTTGGACCCCAGAAGAGTGGATCCTGGGCCACCTGGCCCTCCCAAAAAAGACTGTGGAACTGGAAAACGCCTCCCTCCTTCCCTGTCCGACCATCACTCATCAGACCCCAATAGCTAGCCCCCGGGTCTGGGAGACCCGTGCAGATCGGATCGCTCGGGGCCGAAAATCCTGCTGGCTTCCTTCATGGTCTCCTGAGATACATGGAACTCCGGTTCGAGGTCACATGGTTGTGGGGAACAGGTGAAAACGGTGGGAAACAGGCCGCCAAACAGGGGAAACAGGCTGTGGGGAACTAGGTGTACCAGAAAAACTGACCAGGCATGACCGACCGACCGACCTGGCGATATGGTCGAGCTCGCTACTTATTGTCACATGGATGAGTTGAAAGGGTCAGTCATTGCTGCAAGTGAGGTGGTTTGAAGTTTTTTCCTTCCTGTAAGCAAGTCATTCTATAGCTCACACTCTTGCACCACGGTCTCCTACAAATGAGTCGTTGAACACAATCTGATAGGCAGGCTCAACGGCCAAATGGCTTCTCATTCACTTCTCGCGTACTATGGTCCCTTCTGTTCAAACCAGACTGCTTGGTGGCAATGCAGATGGGTCCTACTTTTCGAACACTTGACATGCTGTTGAAGGTGGGACCCCGAGTTTTGAAGGCGGGGCAGCACCTACCAGAAACATCCACATGGAGCGAAGCACTGTAAATCACCGTCCCATGGCTAGGTTTCTCTTCCGTCCTCGCGGGACTGCTGCTGGTTGTTCAGGCGCTTGATGCTCGCGAGGAACTTGTTGAAGTCCTGGCGCCCAAAGAGGGGCCGACGACCCACCGACGAGTCCTTCTTCCCGAGACGCACAGGAAAAACCGACGCGGCGGGGGGGGCGGGTCCTTCAACGATGGGTGTGGCAAAGTGGGTGCAGCGAGGAAGAGGAGAATCATGCAGTTGGTGGTGGCGAAGTATCTCCAATGTTTGGGCAAAACCTTGAGTTCTAAAGTACATTAAAGCACTGAGTAACGGAACTGATGGTGATGAGCTGATGTGATAGACTGCATTGCCAGGGACATACAGAAGCTAGGCCGGCACGTTCGACCCCTGCTGTGTCTCGATGTCTCGATGTTGACACGGCTGATCCCGGCGGAATCCATGACCGTCATGCACGGTGGACTAGAACGGTTTTCCCAAATGGGGTCTGGACTGGTGAACCCTTGGAAGCAGTTGGACTGGTGACTGGTGTGTATGAATATTGCTATTACGTATATCAATAATAGTAGTCACCTGTCTACAGAAATCATTTGCTAGCCATGGGTGTCACCAGTGGAGACTGTGACGATGTTGCCGCTGAGGGGCCACAATTGCCCCAGTGGAGGCATTTGATGGTCCGTTTAAAAATTGAAGACCCGCAATACATCGCAATACGATGATCCAGGATTTCCACAGTAAGACTGTTCTTTTTCACTGCTTCCTTTGAATGCGCATGTCCACGTCCGCCAATGGTATGGTATGAACCCACGTCCCATGATGCTGCCGCGAGGGGTCTGGTCGCCTCAATGGGCAGGCGCGATCTGGCTAACCTGAAGGCACAGGGACCCGGAGGGACTGAACTCTCTGAAGGCGAGGATTCAGCTGATGGGCCCGTAAGCTCTGCCAGCGAAGGTCAAATGCGTTCTTCTTGACCCGGGGTTTGAATGAGTCTCGTCCCACAACACAGTCACTTCCACTGGCTTTTTCACCATCAAGCACATTTTAGCACAGTGATTCAAAAGATTCCACAAGCTAGCCAGTTAGTTGCTGGTTATGCAAAAATGCTAAAGTCCTTATGTATATATATATATATCAAAGAATCCTCCAACATGGGTCTTTTTCACCGAGCTGTCAAACACTGCTGCTGTCAGTCCAAAGCTCCACGGAGCCTAGCCTGAAGAAGGCCTTCCCATCCACCACTGGTGGCCGTGCATCACGCGCGTCGCGCGCGTCGCGCGAGTCGCTGTGTGACGGCAGGGGAGCCTCAGTCGGCTGTCTCACTGTGTGACGGCCAAGCATAGTGAGCACAGCGACCAGGTTTGAAGGATAACTAAGAACCGCTGATTCATTAAGGATATCTCTTAGGATATCCTCGAACATCACCTAGAACCACTGAACATCTGAAGGATAACTAAGATGAACGACTATTCGCTGTGCTTCAGAGACTCAGATTCAGAGATATCGATCGACTGCTAGCACGAGAAAACACAACCATTGAAACCGGGGCAAAACAAAACCTCGCTCACCACATACTCACCCTTGAAAAACGGCAAAAGATCAGCTCATGATCAGATCGCTGAAGGAAATCTATGAGTTTCAGGAGTCAACCTCAAGTAGGTGGAGAATGGTGCCCCGCGACTTGCCACCTTTGGCCACCTTTAGGACTTTAGGAACTCCTGGCATGAAGCGTGCATTGCATTTCCCACGAGCTGAAAGGCAAAGTTTCTTTCCACCATCGACTTAGATGCATCCTGCTTGAGCTTCCACACGGGCATCCGCGCATGTGGAGGCGCTTCTGGGAAGGCCTGCTTCCGGGTGTGGTCGCTGTCGACAATACAAAAATGTCAATAATTAACAGAAACACAACAGCCCAAACACCCTCTGGGCCCACCCCGAGGCCCGAGTTCAGGTCCGGAGTCGCAGCTGCTGGGCCTTCAGGCCCCCCATCTGACTCCCCGCGCCTGCCCAAAGCCCCGCGCATCCCGCGGATCGCGTGGGAAATCTCGCGGGTCGCGTGGTGGATCCCTCGAGGGCCCTGGCGGAGCGGGGGGGCTGCGGAGCGGTGCAACTCGGCCGGGGCGGTCGGGAGTGGGTTTTGGGGAACGCCAGGGCGGCCAGGGCCAGACGCTGGAGCAAGGACGCTACTAGTAGCTCCTGGCGTTGTAACGAGGGAATCGCTATAGGAATGCATCAAAGAGGACGGAACAATCCAGTTTGAGATTGACTGGTGGTTTTGCTTTGACGAGAAGGAGGGAATGACCTGGCACAAGGGATCTGTGTTGGAACAAGAAAGCTTTCTTCCGCTTCAGCTGTCACCCAAGACATGTTCCTCATCTGCTGGCAGTCTGGTCCTCTCTTGTTGCTCATGTCATGAGGATGCACCAAGATTTGATCACATTCCCCAGGGGTGTCAAAATAAGGGGACTCCCAACCTGCTTGTCCATTAAAAAACAAATAGGAGCCACCATAAATGTTGGACAATGGCTGAAAATGGACCTCTCTCAAAAGATCTCAAAAGCTTCTCTCCTTTATCAAAGTCCTTTCCAGCTCTCGCTCTTTGGGACGCTTTCCCCCGTTCGTCTTGCAACACGCAGCCCGGGCCGTAGCCCATTTCACCAGCGGTGAGTGGCATGGTGCCCTCAGACGGAGGGCCGGGTGCTCATGCGCCATGAGAGGGGGCAGTCAGTCAATCGATCCAGCTGATGATCAAACCAAGAGTCCAGCTGGTCAAACTGTCGATGGAGAATACTAAAAAGGGCATCAGTAAGGGTACCTAGCTAGGAGCTCTTGTTTTTGCGCACCAACTCAGAGACTCCAGCCATGATCAACATATAAATATATATCCTCACAGTACAAGGCCTAGAATAAGTGTAGTCTTATGTAGTTATGTAGTTAATTTATTATGGTTCACGTCAAAGACAACCACGCAGTCTGGACAGCATCTTGCCTTCAAAGCAACTTGAGTCCCACTACCAATGTGACTCAATGTGAAGATGGCTACGTCAAGATCTATGTCCAACATGATCACGACAGGTGTGTGGAAGAGCAAGCACTCCAAGTAACATTGGACCGCAGGGCCCCCCCAAAAAAAAAAATCAACATCTCCAAACAGCTGCTTGTCCGACCTCGTCCAAACCCACCACACCCACCGGCTGCACCACTGGACCACCAGCTGCACCACTCATTCCAACTCGCTTGCTTTTGAACCTGACAGACCCGACACATCAAATGAACAAAATCCTCCAGGTGGCTCGGAAGTACTCATCACCTCGGGTGTGAGCACGCGGATGTCGCACGCGCGGAAACGCTTTAGCTCGCGCGTGCTGCGTTTTCCGGTGGGCGGCGTTTCCAGGAGTTTTGGGCGGAGTTTTTGGTGGATGTACTAGTTGGGTCTATCCCATAACCAGCAGCAGTGTATGATGACGATTAACATAAGGTCAAATATAGTGATCATCTTTTACCAACATTTACAGGTCATGGGGCACGCCCTATGTCCTTCTGTACTTGATAGGTCCCGCAAGATGTTCTTCAAGAGGTTCATATGCTCTGGAATATATTCATCACATGACCTCTATGACATAGATTGAAGGTGCAGTGGCTAATGATTGCCCACAGTCGAGAGTCGGCATCATCGATCTGCAGCTGGTGAAGCCGGTGAAGCTCAGGGTTCCAGGGTTTCTTGTTCTTTGTTCCTTCAGCTACTGTGGACCACCTAGCGGCACGTCTAAGAACAGGCGGCTGTTCTCGGCGTCGTTCAGCGGAGGTTCAGTTCGACCTCCGTTGGCCGAAACTGACTGGTGCGACCAAGTAGGGTGGCTGAGGGTGGCTGGATCTTAAGAAATCTGTAGTGTGGGGGCATTCCACCCTCATGTTTCCCTCATTCCCCGAGTCGCACCAGTCAGGAAAGTCGTGGAGATCTCGACCCTCCTGCAGCCCCGCAGCTCATGAGAGACTTCAACTCGCCAAGCTCTGCCTCCTTGTGCTGGTCATCCTGGCAAAGCCCCCAGGATCAGTTCTCGAAGTGTGTTGCAGGTATTGAATGGAGTCTGACGAAGCCATAGTACATCATAGCACTCACAAAAGGATACTACCCCGTGGAAAACTAACGTGGACCCTGAAAACCATTGGTCTGTAGAGGAAAATCGTCGTTCAGGGTCCCATTCTCAGGGTCCATGTTAGTTTTTGGGAGTGTAAAGCCGGGCCTGGAGGATCCAAAAGTGTCCCAAACCCGGGGACTGTGGGAGGACTGGGACTTGTTGTGATGACCCACGAAGGCTTTGGTGAGGTCCGCGGTGCGCCCCCCATTCACAAATCAACCTTCACACGCTCAAATGGCGCTATAGCAAGCATCATGAACATGGAGACGTGGGGCACTTCCAGGCTATTGACTACTAACTTATTATATACTACAGTGCTGGTCAACTTCATCGATCCAACGAGCTTCCACATCCACGCCCTCGGGAGAACTCCCAGTCGCACTTGGACCAGCAAACAAAGACAATCTCCAGCCAACAAGCAACCCACCCAGCAAAACTCAAAACTGTCTGCTTCTCATGAAAAAATACCGTCCTGTATCTCCTTCAGCACTGCAGCTTTCAGATTCTCCAGCCTTCGTCGCGGCTTCTAGCTCACCCAACTGTGTTTTTGGTCTGTCTGGACACCTCTGTTAAAGGGCCCGGACCCGGGTGGAAGGCGAAGCGATCCACTACAGTTGAAGCAATCCGATCCACAGTTTTCAGAGGAAAGAGCCTTCGGCTGCATGGGAATCGATCCGAATGTCTTCCCTACAATGAATGTTAGTTATAAATACATCCCATATATAGGGAAGAAACTATATATATATATGTATAGATAAATATAACTTTTCCCATATTCCTTTCCTATGGTAGTTATTCAAAAAAAAAAAATATATATATATATACATGGACATGGAATCATTGGATTGATGAGTCGCCATATTGATAAGTTTGGGGATGAAGACCCTTGAGAAAATGTCTGTCCCTCTCTTTCACCACGATATGTTGGCACTTTGGATCCTTTTGCCTAAGCTTGCAGACCTTGAGCATCCGCTGTCATCTTCCTCTCCACAGGGAATAAAATTCAGTCCAGCAAAATAACTTTGGAATCGGACGAATCTTCCTGAACCCAAAATCTATAGCTCCCAAACCTGCCATTCGACCGACCACGGATCCCAAAGAAAACCGGACTGAAGTGACCTTGGGGCACCAAGCGCGCATCCTCACCCGCTGGTTGCGGCGCCTGAGGATTTGCTTCTTCAATGAGCCCAACGTCTTGTAGAGCTCCTGCAGAAAACGTTTCGCCCGTTCATGCGACACCGATGGCAAAAAATGACCAAAGCGAACATGGAAGTGGAAAGCACTGATCCAATCCATTGGGGTTCATAGTAGGTAGAGTCGTCACCCAGGCAGGCTGGTCATATGTGCTGGTCGTGGCAGGTGATCATGGTGATCTGGGTGTCCAGATCCATCCTCTGCATTTAACGTAAGACCAACAGAACTTCATCGGCCAGCGAGCTGGCGAGCTCGCGGTGCTGGGCGATGCTTTGGAGTGTCAAGGTGTTGGATCCGAAGACGACAAAGAGATGCTGCCATGCAAACCGCTACCCCCTTCTGAAAACGAGCATGAGGGAACAGCGTTCTCCCCCAACCATGGTCACTTCATACTGCTAACCATGGCGTCACTCCAAATCTCCCTATCTCAAATCTTTGTCAAAGTGACCTGACCTAGCGCACGAACAGACCAAAAGGAGGCCCAAGGGCTCCAGCGCGGCCAGGCTCCTTCTCTTCGTCCTGCAGCTGTTCCCAGCGTTCCTTGGACTCCACCAGCTCCACCTCACCGGCAGGTCCGGCGGGCGGTGCTGGGCGTGGCATCGGCCTCGCCTGCAGGGACGAGGTCTTTCGGTCCAAATTGGCCACCGTGGCACGGTGCTCCTCCGTCCGGGCCGTGCCGGGTATAGATGCAGGGGCGTCGAGATGGGCATATTGGGAGGAATCCAGGAAGGATCTGCTTCAGGTTTCGCACCTGGTGTTTAGGGAAGATCTCCCTGGTTGTGCAGGCGAAGATCTTCAAAGGTTGGCATGTCTCAAGCTGGGAGATACGGATACCCATAGATACGGCCCCAAAACGTTCAAGCAGATCACGGCACTGCGTCTCCAAGGTTCAGTCTGACAGCAACCTAATCAATCCTAATCACACCAACCAGCCCAGTGATTCTTTCATCTATACTGTATGTTTGCATTCGCGACTTTTGTGTTTAGCCCCATTGATCGACTCTGTCGCGTCCACCTGGCCGACTGAGACGACTCGATCAGACTGGACATCGACTCCACCCGGTCCTCGCAGGTGAGCCTGGAACGGCGAACTGTTCGATGGAACAAAGACCCGACGCGAATGCGAGAACCATGAAAAACACTGAACCTTATGCCTTATGCCTTGTGCCAAATCGGCGACTGGTTCAGATGGCACAACCCCGTACCGACATCCCTGGACGACTTCCGACATGCCAGGACGACTGAAGTCGCCAGTCGCTTGGAGTCACGAAACACAAGGCCAAGTGCAATGCTATACACATCTATATCCATAGAACCTGAGTGACCTCTATTTTGGACCACCCACGACCCAAGTATATGGCCTTCTATCAAAACCGTGGTCAAATTAAACGGGTTCTAAGAGGTGTGTGTGTGTGTGCATCACATATATAATATATATATAATGTCATTTGTTCTATTTAACCTCAAGACAAAATGCTATGTTTAAAAAAATTTTGGTCCAGTCCGAAAAAGGAAGCAGGGGCTTCCTATCATTCCAAAATGGATCACCTGGTTGCGAAAAGCTTTGATGTACACATCACATGGAAATGGAAAACCCCCTGTGTGTAGAGGAAAGTAGTCTTCCAAGCGCACATGCCATCCACTTCCATGTCAGTGAGTCAGAGTGCAAAAATCACATCGGCCAAAAACAACCAAAAGCGGCGGTTCCCAGGGTGGTTCCACCTGGTCCTTAGAAGCCTTTGCTGGTCCATCAGGCCCTGAATCCCGTGCCCCAAGGAAGAGAACGGTCTTGGGAGTGGAGCTTCTTTGGTTTTGGACCTGCGGATCTTTTGAGATCCATTGATCAACCAACCACCATGCGCTCTTTGAAAAGCCCTTCTGCGATTCTTAAGACTTTGGGACATGGAATTGCTTTCGAAGAGACTCCATCTTCTTGATCTCTTGCTCCAGGCTATTGACCTCCACCCAGTCACATCCAGGCGGAGGAGTTGTGCCAAAAAAGGCCGGCAACTAAGCCAACAGCCCACAATCACCCGCGAGGCCGAATGCGGCTGGCTGATCCCTTTATTAAATTAACTATTTTAAAAAACAGCGCTTCCAATGGATGTCCTGGCTGGAGACGTATAAAGTACTGTAACGTTGTGCAGCCTAGTGAACACGAATGGAAGCAGCTGATGTGTGTGTGTGTGTCTGTGTGTGCGCGCTTCTCTAAGAGGGTCAGCCATTGAGCTCTATCCGACTTGTCGGCAGGAGGGCAACGGGTGAACGCCAAAACCGTCCCAGGTGCTCAGCCAGGATTTCATCCTGTGTGGTACCGAATAAATCACACACATACAAACCTGCTGAGTGTTTGGACCAGTGCTAGAGATGTTTTTGGACATGGGGTTTCCCAAATAAAAATGAACGCAACGCTCGAAATGCACTTGGCACTTCTGAAAACAACAGCGACCGACTGCTCAGTTTCGGACATCGCGCGACCGACATCGATTGCATTGAAAGACCGAAAAATCGTTGGTGGATAAGCCTCACCTTCCGTTGAAAGGCACGCTGGATGATCTGAATGCCAACGGTGAGCTGGTCCTGTCAAGGCCAGACCATGAGACCAAAAACTGTGGAGCCTAAATCAACCAAAGCCCCTGAAAAGTAAACCTGATGGGGGTGTCGGAAACGAAGCAAAAGTAGATGAACACCCACTAAAAACACATTTGTTTACTGAGTTTACTGCCTACTCATCATGCAGCACCCCACCAGCAGCATTGCAGATCTTCCCACCGTCCACGCATCCAAGAAAGGGTATTCATTTCGCCATGGGCAAGCGCACTTCTTTGGTCAGGGATCAGGAATATCGATGTATATCGATGTAAATGGTCATTAGATCTATTTGAGTATATGTATATATGTATATATACAGGAGTGTAGTATATGTACAGTAGTATTTGTATATAGATATGGTCAACGGCACCCCTATGACCCGCAATTTTCTTTGTCATTGCAGGCGGATGCTATTTTTTTCAGTAGGATGGGTTAAAAAAAACATTGAAAATACAGTAAAATCTGCGCTTTGTCTTGAAGGACAACTGTATATGAAATGTGATGTAGGAAAAATGAAGAATAGTCTTGAGGCCGAACTTCGGCCAAAAACAAATATTCATCAACCCTCACTTCTGCTTTCATAACAACTCAATCTGGTTGGGATGCACTGGTTAAAGAAACAACCATTGGAGATCCTGCAATCCTTATGGTTCTGTTTTTGGTTTTTGGTTTTGTTTCTTGGTTTACCTCGCATCAGTCTGAAGCCTTTTCTGTCTTGGGCATTTACAATTCTGCCTCCGCTTTCTCGCAACTGCCCATGTCATTGCTTGTGTTTTGTGGCCTTTGCGGACGATGGCCAAACAAAATCAAACAAACACAAACCCTTGTACTATGCACCAGGTCTGCTGTACATTGCACTGCAAAAGCTGGTTCTGCTTTTGTACTTGCAACTTGCAACTGTGTTGCTTCGAATGCCAATATTTATCTGCAGCTGCTTGTCTCAATCCCTCTGGTAGTCTAGCACCTGTGAACTTTCATTGGGCTCCAATAGACCGGCGCAATGCTGCGATTCCTGCAGAATGCCTGATGTTGTCAACTTCAGCGCAATGGACGAGAAAAATGCAGCTCCTGTCCGCCTTTGCATTCATTGTGTCTGTTTTGTCATTCTTGTTGGTGTTCAAAAACAATGTCTTGACATGATCCCTCTCCTCCTCCAAAGAACCGTCTGCATAAATGACTACGCGTACCTATACATCTGGCTGGTCTTTATATCTGGAAGGGCTAAACAATATCTGCACCAATGATTGGACACATCTGCTTGTCAACTCTGACGCTCCAACCCGCTAGTGTTGCGGGTGGGTGGGGATTGTAGATAAGTTCTTTTTGTGCAACCTAGGACTTATAGTCTGTATATTGTTTACCGGCCCCGCAGCCGGTCTCTGCTCACACACCCCAAAACCTCAAGCTCAGTGGCAGCAATGTCGGACGGAACACGCACCCCAGAGTCTGGGTATGACTTCAAATACAAGTCACAGCTCTGGGAGTGATTTGGCTCAATTAAAGCTGTCTTTTTCTTCTGTCGGTTGCCGAATTCTCTTGAAATGTGTCACACTCTGATAATCGCAATGTCTCATTTCAAGGGCTTTTGTGGGCACCGCCTCCTTGTCGGATACCTGAACATTCTGAGCCTGAGAGAGGACGCTCTCGAAGTCCTCGTGTGCAGCCTCGGCCTGGCACCCCTTCTTTTTCCCCACCCTTTACCCTTTCGCCCAACACTCCGACCTCCACCCCCCTCCACCTCCGACCCCCGCCGGTGTCTATTCCACCGCACATGGTAATGGTTCCGATGACGCCCCCACTTTTGGATCCGCAGCCAGGGACAGCGGAAAGTCAGTAGATGAAGGATCTTCTCTTGAACAAAACAAAACCTTGGCAGGCATAGACAATGAACTTCCATAGGAATAGGTTTTCCGGTCTGTTCTCCATTGGCAGATGCAACCCTTGCACAGTAAGACCATAGCAATGAGAAGCTGCAAAGACAAAACAAGTCATTGGGGCGCCGGTGAGTAACTATATTATATATATATATATTATATATATTATATATATTATATATATTATATATATATACGTACATATGGGAAATGTAGTACAAGTCCTATGGTCGCCAGAGACAGTTCACCATAACGTCCGTGGTGCGGCATGTTGGATGCGGCCCTCATGGGGCGACGTGTACGTCGCAGCTCGCGGTCCGCGGTCCTCGCTGTTTCCATAGTCTCCATAGTCCGGTCGTTCCATCATGCACAAAGGAACATGACCAGCACACCAAAACCACTCAATGAAAAGAAGTGGAGCTGATTTACTACTTTTCCGAATCTATCTGCTAGGCAAGGATTTGCAACATGCTAACAGCTAGCATTTTCTCTACAGTACTACTCGCTACTCGCTGCTACTTGTCCTATTGTTTGGTCTGTTTCTGGCGAAATACGCTTGAGCAAACTTCAGCTATTTGCCATTTCTCATCTTGAGCCACACGTATCATGTCATGTCATGTGGCTGACTTCTTCACGCTCGCGAAAGGCCAAAGCGGCCCAGGCACCCGAGACACGACCGCCGCACGGGGCTCTAAACATCCCAGGCTTGGTCAAAGCTTGGTATACACCTGACTCAGTCACTGGGGGTCAGTAGAAAAACCACACACCCTGGGCCAGTGGATGATGGCTAGGTTGGAAAAGCCCATCTCTAAAGAAAGTGATCATTCTTATTTCATCATGTTACAGGTAATAAAACAACCCAACCTAGCTCCCTCAGTGTCCCTGGAAAAAAACAACTAAAGATTAATGTGTTTCTGTCGGAAACCCCATCCCCCAATTCAGTTTGGAAACACCTTTTCCGGTGGAGAAACTGACCCTCAACAACCCCCGATCCCTGGCTTGAGGTCCTGATCTCCATCTTCCGGTTCACCTCTGTTCGTTGGAAACCGAGCTTTGGATAACTGTTCGAAGCTCCAGACCGCAGGGCTTGAACGCGCTTCGCTTGAACCGGAACCCACCGAGATCGGCGTGACGACTGACAGAGCCGCACACCGCTGGGAATGCAAATGAGCGGTGGAAAACCACCGCGGGATGCGCGGACGTTTTCAACGGGGTCGACTTGGAGAAATTGAAGCCTAGCGCTCCCTGCCTGCAGCTTTGGCGCTGCACAGGACTGAACATTTGGTCCAAGCCGCAGCATTTCAGTATTTCAAACGGGCCCACACTCGCAATTCGCTGAATCACAACAGCCTTGATGAATGATTCTATATATGTGCGGTTGCATCAACAAGATTCAACAAGTGTCAATTTATAAGTGTACTTATAAGGGTAGATAGAGATTCCGGAGCGAGGTCTGGCAAGAGGTTCTAGTCTGAACGGAAAGCAGAGATCTCTCCACAAAATTATTTTCGTGATGAAATCGATGCAGACCTCCCCCTAAACACTGTCAAACGACATACTGAGCAAAACAGGTGATGCTTTTACCTCAGAAAGTCAGTCAATCGGTGGCATTGATGGGGGAATCGACCAGCCGGAGGAATCATCGTCCGGGCGAAGGCAGTATAGATCTATACATACTCCGTGGAAGGCAACCCAGCGGCTTTGGAGTTCCAATGTTAATCTGTAGGGGGGTAGGTTCGGATTGGTGGGTTTGTTCTCAGTCGCGTTCTTTTGGAGACCTGGATTCAAAGGACGAGATCCAGAAGAACCTCGGAAAGAAAATGAAGACCCATTCACGACGGACTCATTCCAACTGTCTATCTCACATGATGCTGCATGAGGACTACAATAATGAAGACTGGCAGTGAAGCAGTGGAAGTCTTCCTAGTGCGGCGCAAAAGTGTTCAAGTATCAGTCATGTGAGACCACCAATACCAACTAAGCTTTGCTTGTGAACCTCAAGTGACTAATTACTTCCAAAAGCCCGAGAAGGATAGTTGATGATGGTGAACTTCAGGTCTTTCTGCACAAGGTCAGCATTCGAATCGCGTGGGACGGTCGTGAAACCTAGACCCCTGCCGGGTCTCATCGAAAATTAACTCTCAAACCATGCCATGGTCAATTGTTCAATATTCCAGGCGTTTTACAGTTGTTTGGGATATATTATACAGATAGCTCAATCCCCAAAAGGTGGTGCATATGGACCAATATGGTCCCCCATCTAAAAGACATCGTGGTGGTTGTGCCATCGAACCTTTGAAACCACCTGTAGCTGATCGTGTCTCAAGCACTATATAGACTATCAAGACCAATGGTCGGGCTTCCTGTGCTAGTTCTGGTACAGTATAAGCCACCAACGCACCGCACGTGTGCTTCAATCCACCCTCATGCAGAATGCTTTACTGTGGAAGCACTCAAACTATCAAGGTTGGGGGAACATCTTCCAGCTTGAGTTATAATGTTAGTTCTAAGATGATGCGATATGTATCATGTATATATAGTAAGTGTCTTCGCACTTTCAGTTGAGTGCTGCACCACGGTGAAGACACGTCGCTGGTCTGAGAGTCGAGGCAGAACCAGATCAATCTGGACGCTCAGGCCACTTGGTAGAGGATGCACCTGAAGAAGGTGTGCCCCAAACCTGGTTCTAACCACTGCAGTAGGTACATTGGCTGCAAGGGAGGTTTTCCTTGCAGGTGAACAAGTACACCGATCCAGCCTCCGGTGTGCCACAAAGACTTCCCGAGCCGCAGAACACCGTGCAGAACAACTGCCACCGTTCACGCCACCGAACTCGAGAATCCACACGGCTAGCGGACTAGCGCAGCAGCGCATCCCAACTGCCTCGTTGGTTGAGATTTCGTCGCATGAACTGGTTCAAATCTATATAAATATATAGTAACCTATTGAGGATGGTCCTGGTTGGCCCCAGCGTTAGAGTTGAAACCAGAGGTACCCCGACCCAAACCACAGATTTGATCCAAAACATTTAGAAACACCGGCGCACCTATTTGAGGGCCGCCGCGGTCTCGGCGTGCTGGGCGGTCTTCACCGGATGCTCTTTCTTGGCCATTTCCCTCAGGCGAGGCTCTTTTGCCGCCAGGACGTCGGACGACGACGAAGCCAGGACGTCGGAGGACGACGACGAACCGGACGAGGGTCACAACGGACGAGGTCCTCGTCGCGTGAAAACGCCGAATCGGCAGAGGATATCTGCTGCGTTGTTCGCAGAAACGATCGCCAACAGCACAGCCGAGAACTCGATCAGCAGACAGCTCAGCGTGAAACGAAGTTTTTAGCTGGTTTGCCCGCATTAATGGCCCATAAATGCAATCCTCGAGATCACAAGCAACACTCTTGGATGCTTCATTTCGCAGATTGCTGCCAAGTAACTCTGCAAGATCGGCGGGTGTTTGCCCCTGGACATGCACAAATCTGAGCATCTCGAGATCACAAGTTCACAATGTTCACCAGACCCTAGACGTTTTCTCCCCATCGAACTCGGTCACCCATCGACTTCCCAAAAAGGTTGACCACTGAACTGATGTCACCAAGTTCTAGTAGGATACCATGGGTTCAGCTTCGGCGTCCTTTGTTTCGTCATGAGACTGCCCCACGTGCTGACGCGTTGTTTCGCCGTCATGTCTGCCATCACTGGATCCAAGGTCTCAGTCCGTGCAGAGCTCTATCGAGCTCGACCTTGCTGTGCCAGTCCGTGTGGCAATAACAGCAGCTAAACTAACCGGACCATTGACCCTTCATGGGTGAGGAACTAAGTTTAAATCAAGCTCTTCTGGCCGGCCACTGCTGCTGACCCACCTCGTTTCACAAAAAGGGGAGGGCGAGATATGAAGTCAGACTTTCGTGGACTTCGTGGGATCTCAACAACACCTGGAGCTTCGGCCTATGCTTTGGTCGTCACCACCCGGATGTGCTGAATCCACTCACCGTCCTTGGCGTTCTTCGTGGTCTTCTGTCCCAGGCTGGCCAGCAATCTGGCCGTCTCCAGTCCACCAGCCACTGCCTCAGCAACGGCAGAAGGGACCAGAGATTTCAACCCCAAAAATAGAATTGTTGCATATTAAACCCTGGAAGGGAATGAATTGGTGGCTCCCCAGATGTTGGTTTGCTCATGTAGAAAAGATGGGTCCGAGGCCGACGCTTAGAAGAACTTGCTGGCACCAGTGGGTTCTTCGTTTTCACGGTCTAAAAAGGCCCAACCTGTGGCTGTAATACGAAAACTGGAGAAATGGGCAAGACTCTGCTTCCAAGATCCTCATGGTACCTGGAATTCTTGAAAGAATCATCGCTTTTTTTCTGGGTGATCGCGGGTGTCTGTTCGGAGAAGCCACCCGATTCTGCCAATCCAGTTCTTCACCCAGCTTGGAATCCGACGGCCCAGTGCAGGGCGGTGTTGCCCTCAGAGTCCACCTGGGCACACCGCCCGGTCCGACGTGCCAACGACGTCCGGACCGTCCCAGTCTGACCGGCAGAGACCATCCGCCCGATGTCGCCGATCCCGTCGCTTTAAGATCTGAAGCGAAGCCCCGAGAGATCCCTCGTGGTTGCTCAAACTCCAAGGAGAGGCCGGAAACTCTACATAACCAGAGAAACTGGACGGATCAGAGACACTGGGGTTGTTGGTTGGGAACCTCTTTCATAGTAAGAGCCTAGCTCATCAAAGCTCCCTTTATTTCATCTGTGTTTCCACAAGATATAGTCGCAATGACTCCTTGGCTCGGATAGTGAGGAGCAAGGACGCTACTAGGAGCTCCTGGCCTATAGACTATAGCATAGTTAAATCAACACCTGCGGACTTTGTCTTATTTGGTGAGCCACCAGCACACCTACCCCGCCTTGGTAGTGTCAGCCTTCGCTGCGAGCAGTGTCTTCACCTGCAGGATGAGGGAAGTCTTGGCGCTGTGATGGTCCATTCTTCTTCTATCTATCCTGTTGAAGGAACTACTCCTAGGGCGTGAATGGTATTCCACCTGGTGCAGGGTTTCTTTCGTCAACAGCGAGATGGACACCCGGCCCGAGCTTTTGCAGAGGCTCGATCTCTTTCACGGCATGTCCCCCAACATTGGACCCCAGGTTAGGCAGTGGAGTCAGGCTCTTCCGGTGCTCGAAGGCCAAAAGGCCTCAATGAGCCTGACTCGGCCCTTCAATGACCCGCTCGGCTGAATCCTCGATCCACGAGGCGGTCATCCCAACACCGGTTTTGGCAAGGCCCGCGCTGCTTCCAGGTGGTTCCCTTGGGCGGCAAACATCAGCGCAGTCCTGAAACCAGTTCCAATCACCTTGTCGACCTGGCACCTGGTGGGGAAACCCAGCTCTGAGCGAAGAATTTCGACTAGGTGGTGACCGAAACGAATAGCATGCTGGAATATTCTCATCTATGTCTCATGTACTTGCCTCAACACACCCTCCATTGTTTTTCTTCGAATCTCTCAGCGCTTCGACTCGCATCTTCGGCATCCTTCGGCGACCACCCGAGGCGCTCCTGCCGTTGAGTCGCTCCTCATGATTCACCAACGCACCTCCCTTGAGCAACACCTGCGGAGTCGGTGGCTTCTGGCGGAGTCGAGGAAAGGACTGTTCAGACTGGATGCCAGGAACATGTCCAGACAGTTCGAGGAATCTGATGGAAATTGTGCCGCACCTGGGGGTATATATCATGTTTTCGCTGAGTCCATTTTCTCTTCCAAAAAGTCCCTGTAAAAGCAATTCGAGACTATAGTCCCCCCAACTTGGAGAACTTCACGGTTTCACGGTCTTTGACGTTCGGGCGCAAGTTCTGTTCGGTTCCTCTACTATATATTGTGTTTATAATATATATATTATATATAGCTATAGTATTCATATAATGTTATATATTGGTCTGTTGGACTTGTTTCTTGTGCCCGCTCTCCAATGGCCCCCATGGCCCATGGCCATGGCATCCGAGTCTGGCTTCACCGCGCCTCACATGCCTCAGCGCCACCTTCGGAGGCGGCCATCATCAAAGCGCTCACGCCCTCCTCATCCACCACATCACCTGCCAAACGTGCAGCTCCGGCTGCTGAGTGTAGCGTGACTTGCCCAAGATCGTCGTTTTCTTTGTCCCAATGTGGTCCAACAAAAATGGGTCCTCTGAGTGATCTTGGAAAGGCCCGGTCCAGTGCACGTCCTCTGAGTGACCTCTTTCATGCACGGTGAACACCGCGCACCGTGACCTGTTCACCGGAGGAAACGAGTTGAAAAAGGTCGGTCGAACACAGCATGGGTCTCGTCTCCACAGCGGGTTCCCGCTTGGAAAAGGCGTTTGAAATATTGCCAAGTCTCGTGAATCACCAACCCCTGCCACGCCTAATTGGAGTCTATATAGAACAGAAAACGCCTCTTGCCTCTTTGTATATAGTAACAACAAACATCTTTGTGGTACCCCACCCCAAGCGACCGTCAGCTTGTCTTGGTGTGTCAACATATTCTTGGCCTTTCACTCCTTCTTTCAAGCCCGCGGCCAGCTTTGCAGCCTTGGTCACAAAATGACCTCCGAAGACCCCCAAATGCATACAATCCAGGCGGGTATCCAGCCCGCTGGACACGTGGATCCACTTGTGTGGCCCGGCATGTCAATGAAGTCTTCTGGCCTACCAGGTAGCCAAATTACCTTGGTTTCCTAGAAGATCCAAAAAGGATGTCAGATTCTGTTCCGTACCAGGCCCACTACCAGCTTTCAGCTTGGCAAAGTGCGTTCGACCTACCAATCTACCTTTCAACCACTATCCGTCCACCAATGTTGGAAACTGGTCTGGGGGCGCCTCCCTAGCCTATGCCAGCCATCTTCAAAATCATTTGAATTGGGCTCCACTCGATCACGGCTTCTGCTGTATACACTCGATCTTCATGAGCTGATGTCATGTGGTTCCAACGACGGCGACCTCCATCTTAGGCACCACACGTTCTTGGTTTTTGCCGCCTGTAGAAAGGGTGTGATCAAGTCCTGGCCAGCAAAATTCGCCCGCTTCTCGTTCAAACGCTGAAGTAACAAAGGCCCTGATTGCGGCGAATGAGCGTATCTGCACTCCTGTAAGAAGATGCATGTTTATACACCGACACCTGGTGTTCTGTTGCATCCAACTGTTTCCACCCCGCCGCGGTTCCGGCGAAACAAAAAAACGTTCAACTGTTTGGAACGTCATGCAGTTGCCATGAGAGCTGTCTAGACACAGCAAGTGTCTATACGGCTAACATGTGCAGGCTCTCCTTACCCCACCCGACGGCAGCCGAATGATGGTCTGGATCGTGTTCAATCGTGTTCTGTTCTTGCTTCATTTTGTTTCACTAACATCGCTCGCAAGCTAGGGTTTCATTCCTTAATGTTTCACCCAGAATCCTTCTGTGCTTTGCCGCCTTGTGTTGAGCAACACTTGTTTTGCACGAGAAACACTGCAAGTTTGCCACTCGATCGCAAGCAAATCGCCCTTTGAGTGGAAACCGGCTCCCTTCCCTTTTGACGGGTCCTGGTCGAAGCGGACAATCCACAGATCACGTCCTCCGTTTGCTGGTGCTCACAATTTTGGGGGAAGTGGTAGATTTCAGCCTCTGCAGTGGGTTTTGTCCACTCAATTTTGGGGGCAGAACAGAACCGGAAACTCTTGGGCCTTCCCTCCAAAAGACACCTATCCACGAAGCCGAAGCCGATGTCACCAGCTTTCCCCTCTCCGCACCCCAGAACGAACGCTGAGCGGACTTGGACCTACAGAGGTTAAGTGACCATAAATAGGACCCGTCACCAGCAGTACCTATAGGATAGTCTAGTTCGGGTTCTTCAACCTTTGCTGGGACTTGGGCGTCTGAGCTTGCCAACGTCCTTCTGTCAGAGGTCTTCGTTCGATCGCATCTTCCAACGTCCGTTTCGAACCAAAACTGTGCGTTCCAGTTCGGCCTCGTGGTCGGGGTGCTCCACGCGATCTGGAGGCCAATGTTCCCGCCGAAAAGCAACACCGGTCTGCATGGTTTCCCTGGAAACCATGCCATGCGCTTGTTTCTTTGTTTCTTTGCCTATACAGTTCCTTCAGGACCCCCCAGCGACCCCGTCCCGTCCCCGCGTCCCCCTTTGCGTTCCAAAAAGCGGCTCGACTCGGCGGCCTCCGGGGGCCTCTGCCTGGGTGGCCAACTCTGCTGGTACCCGCAAAGCCACGCAGAAGGCAGAGTTCGCCGCTGCTGCCTGCTGCGTTGGGGCTACGTGGGCGGCTGATTTGTAGCGCCAAGGCGCCCCGGTTTCAGAAAAGCAATAAGTCACATACTAGTAGTAACTTCTGTAGGAGTTAAGATCGACATACAAGCTCAACATCCAACTCACGGTCCTTGACAAAACAGTGGCCAATGTTCCACTTCTGCTTGGCGGCTAAGCTGCTGTTCCGCTGAGCCTTTTTCAACTCAAGCCAAGTCTATGGGGAGTGGACAAACGGCCTCTGATCCAAGGGAAACGCGCGGCGAACCTTTGCCTCCTAGAAGGATGCTCCAGAGACAACAAAAACCCGCAAAGCCCCAAAGTGAAGTTTTTCCTATGTTGTTCACTTCTTGTTGATCACCTTGGTGGCCTTTCAACATCTTTCGCTCCTGTTCAATCCGAAAAAAGCGCCTCGATTGCTTCCCAACGGATACTTTCAGGTCCGATGGCCCCACCAAAAACGACGCCCGGAGAGACCGACGCAGATACGACGTGAGCTGTGCAGGAGAAATCGTACGTGATGCTCGCGGGCGGAACTGAACTGGCCCAGGAGTGCGGCCTTCAAAGACCTCTGGCCACAAATTCTATCGAGTTTTCAGGTACACCTGTTTGCCCCAAAAAAGAATCCCGATGAGAGCCCTAAAAAGCATCATAACGGGTGTCCGCTCTGAAAGACCCCGCTCACTTCGAAGGCCGCACCTGTGCGAAAGGGCTCCTGTCCGAGATCCGATCTCGGAGCGGCATCCGACGCGTCAAAGGGCGGTCGAGCCGAAACCTGCCAACTCGGCGAGGCCAACTCTCAGCTTCACCTGGACACCGGAGGACCGGGGCGATCGGAGCGATCGGCAGTGACGGCTGCAGTGATGGACGCTCAAAGACATGTAATAGAGCCTAAATCCCAGCAAACGATATTCTTACAGTAAGAATCTTCACCTGCCCTGCTTGGGGATCCCAAGTGGCAGGACCTGTCCTGGCGCTTTGGGAGGAACTGTTTATCCATGTCCATCCCACCAGCCTGAGTCTGAATTCCATGGCGCGGATACTCAGCTGCTTCGTCCACGTGAAAATCTTGCAAGGTGAGAGCTATACCTTTCAGACACCAAAGGGAAAACTTCAAAGACAAGTTGTTCTTTCCATGTTTTGTCCAAGACCGGATCGAAGTTCGATCCAAACCCAAGCGAAAGAAGTTTTACAAGGTGTTCGAATCCAAAAGGAGCAGCGCCTCCACTGACGTTCCTCCCCAGACTCACTGGTCCAGAGGGTCCACTGGCACGGGCAGCGGCACATAGGCAGGCATTTCATTGGGAACGCCCGTAGCAAAGTCATCTGGCGGCTCGCAACAAAACTTGCCCAACAAGGGCATCTCACAGCACTGGAGCGGAAAGTTGGCCTTCCCATCATTGCACTCGAAATCATCCTCACAGCCTTGGGGAAAACCTGGGAACATCCCACCAGCTCTCCGTGCCAACCCACTCACGTTCCGGCCCGTCCCCATCGTCCCCGCCACAGCGCTGCCACCGGTGAGCAAGGCGGCTCCGGTGTGCGAGCCAGACGCAGTGGTCGCAGTGGCCGGCCAAGCGCTGAGACTTGGCATGCCAAGCTGAGGACTGACAGTGAGCCAGGAGGGAGATGCATAGGAAGCCATCAAGTCCGACAAATACATCCTCAGGACGACGCGACGACGACGAGGACGACGACGGAAAAATCAGCGACGGCGATAATAAAGGATAAACCTCTTTCCAGATCTTTCGAGTGGTTCTTAATGTATGCGAACACCTGGGATCATGGTTCCAGGGGCAAAATGTTGGACATTCTCCCAAAAAAAATGGAAAAGCTTCGAAATAGCGTGAGCATCGGCGGATTGGTGATATCGATGGTGTGCTTGACGATGGCGGCCGACCATGGGTCAAACTCATAGCGCGAGTAGCCTTCGACGATGAAAGGCACTTCGGCACCGGAGGAATGGCCAATGCCAAGCATGGAACGCACGTCCTGAAGGACGCACATCCACCGCATCCCTTCGGCACGTCGACTTGAATTCATGCGTCTTCTGGAGAGGTGAAACCACCGGAAGGGCAAAAACAACCCGTTTGTCCCCACAGCTCCGATTCTTTTCGGCACCACCTCTCCTTGAAGACCAGGGTAAGGCGCCATCTGAGGTACATGTCGTTGTTCACCGGTGGGGTCATCGAGGTGATCTCCAAGTTACTTCGGTCGCAGGCCGTGCGCACCGACCACTGCAGTGTGGAAAGCACCTGCTGGTAGCTGGCGAGGCCTTTGATCTTGAAGCTAGGAAGCCTGGCATCTGTGACTTCCTCGGAATGGGCTCAGACACGGAAAATGGGATGAAAAGGAGATGCTGTAGATTCATGTTTTAAGAATATATAGCTAATTTTAGAAAAAGCAAACCTACGAACACCACTCCCCATGCAGGTGGATGGCATGGCTGAACACAAATGGCTGGGTGTTCAGCTTCCATGTGACATTTCACGGAGTGTCTTTCTCTTTTTCTTCCCTTCCTCTCTGAAACACGAAGGCGTTTTCTTCGCTCGAAACCGGGGCGTTTTCTTGACAGGTCCCAGGATCGATGTCGGGGCTGTAGATGGAGAAGTCCGGCGTGTAGCGCTTTCGGCTGAAGAGGCCCGCCACGTCGCGCCGCAGCACGTCGATGGCGCGGCCCACGCCCAGGCGCCACTCGCTGCCGGCCTTGGGCTTCTCAAGCGTCGTGCCACTTCCCTCGGCCCTCCGAGAAATTCGGGCCCCTTGAGCCTGGCTGGGTTGGAATGAGCAAAAAGCCACGAGGCCGCTGTATGCAAGACCCACTCCAAGAACCAGGAGGAGCGAAAAGATGCGCGGGCCGGTCCCGGCGCGCAGTGCGTTTGCGCGCGAGGTGGTGCGCGGCATTGCTATGGGTTCCGACACTGGGGGAGGGCAGGTGCGAACAGGCTGCTGGGAGGGTGGAAGTTGGTGAATCACCAGCGTGATGTGGGTCCTTTTGGGTCACCAAATGTGCCCATGTTGTTTGCTGTGGTCCTTTTCAGAAGTTGTTCAAGAACTTGAGCCTCTGCAGCCTTGACCAGAAGTTGGCCATCACTCAAGCGACTGCGGATGACTGCAGGACGTTGCATCCACAAGAGGAAACCACCAGTTTTCATCTTCAGTCGATCACCTCATCCACAATCGATCACTCACTCACCCCCCCCTTTCAACTCCCCACAGGACAACCCACCACCTCCTGGTCCTTTTTCCGGCCCGTCAGCGGACGTACCTCGTGCCTTTGGATCCTTGGCGCCAAAGTTCTCCGCGATGGCCTCCAGGGTGGCAAACTCCTTCGGCTCCTGTGCTGTACGAAACATGGCGATTTGGAGCATGGCGATAGCGATTTGGGTGGGAAGAAGGTGGGACTCCTCAAATCTGGAGGAGACTCTCTAAGTCGTGGGTGAATTGGTGAGTCTTGTTTCGCAGGATTGCCCAGGACGGATCATGAAGTTTGGCAAGGAGAAATGTTTGCGGACCGGGCTTTTGCGCACCAAAAATCAGCTCGCAAACAATCCGTCTACCAAATCTCTCGCGACTGTGTCATAATGTCTACCAAAGGCACCAGGCATAGGCATCTTCCATTGACCCCCGCTTCAAATCGCTCCGCCTGTTCTCATAACGGTCGGACAGCGCCGAGCGCGTGCCCGCACACCCGCACCTTCGCGGTGGCTGGCAGCATGGGCGGCAAAGCACCCTCCAACAGCGATTCCACACCCTCCTGCCGAAGTGTAGCCAAGTTCTCTTTTCTATCACTCAGAATGGTCCAAATCACAAACTGCTCATTGTCAGGAATCTCTCAACTGTATCTCCTCCCGAAAGAACCTTCATTCCAGACTGCCGTCCACACAGGAGACCCGGTCGTTCGGAAGAAGGGCAGGAAGATGGAGGTCGAGGAATCACGATCTTCTGCAAGTGGGATTTCATGCTGAGGAAACAAAACTGCCTGTAAAATTACATGTTTGGAGAGAAGACCATCCCCAAAGAATGGAGAAATGGAGACCGAACCAAGTCAGGGCAGGTCTTGTATCGTGGCTGACAAAGTACTGTTCCAACCATCTCATGTGCTCATTCAAAGGGTTCTGTCACATCGGAGCAGGCATCTCCTGGCCTCATGCCCAAATCTTTGCAGCTCCCTGTACTACCAACCCGCCAAAAACGGTTGGATTTCATGGCTGCCGATGCTGTCTGCATATTTGACCCATCTGCACTTGTTTGCCAATGCGCTGCTGAAGCACGGGGTCAGCAATCTTCCCAAACCAGGTCCTTGCCGCAGTAGGCATAAAGGATTCGATATCCTTGATGATGGTCCCTCAGCAAAGCACAGTGCTGTATTTAGCAATACCAGAGTTTTCATAACAGTTCCATCAAAACTGTCAAGGAAGCTTTACGCTAACAATCACCTCCAAAACGGTGCAACAAGGTGAAACGGTGTCAAGGTGAACGTGGCGAAAACGTGAGGGCCCGACAGGCCACTTGGAACGATGACGGGTTTCTCCACGACTTTGCAGCCAGTCTTGATCTGGACAAGCGACAAGCGGTTGTCACGCCGGCCGCATCTTCTTTGGAAGCCCAAAGCGGGCAGACCCCGTAAAAGGATTTAAAAGGATGAAAAAGGTAGCTTCCTACCCCATCGAAGGATGTCTTGATGTCTTGTCAATGCACCTGCAGAATTCTGCAGACTACAAAACGATTCAAAGCAGTGAGATCGTTCAGAACAATGGTCAATGTCCTTGTGAATAGGCCTCACTGCGGGTTCGACCGGAATCCCCAAGCCACAGACCACAGGCACCTCCATCCAGTATCCAATGCCGAGCTCTGTGTCCGCCTCAGATCTTTGGCACAGAAAGCAAAAAGTCCGGCCAAATCGTTCGTGCCCCGCTTTTGTCTCGGAGATGAAGCAACAGAAGTTGGTTGAAGGGGATGGAGGCCGCTCTTCAACAAGAACATACCAAAAATGCCCTTCTGAGTCTTGCCTACAAAATACTCCTGGCTTCGGCTCTGGCCGTGTTGGGCTTCATGGCCACTTTGTGTAGCGGTTGCCTTTCTGCTTCGGTGGTTTTCGCCCTCGTGAAACCGGGTGGGCGAATCGCCATCGCCTTCCCCTCCCAAACAGAGGGGCTCCAACAGTCTGGTGGAAATTCCTCCCATCTCCGTCAAAGGTCGGCCTTGGAGCGGCCTACATCAGCCTCAAACACCTCGAACATTCCGAAGCTTGGCAGGATGCTGGTCATTTCTCACCCACGCATCACCATCCAGAGAAGGGTTTGGTTTGAGTCGGAGCTCAAAGGGAGATCCTGCACCAAAGGACAGAATACTCCGCAAATCAACCGCTACTGAACACATTGGGTTGAGTGCCTCCGACCAACAGCCAGGTCAAAATGGTCAAACCTCTGGCCAATGAATGTAGATCTTCGGTTTCCCTTCGGTCGTTCGTAGGCATATCCCTTTTTCGACTCACCTTCGATTCATGAGCGCTGCCTTGTACCCATAGCCCTCTGGAAGTTCGCCGTTGAGGCCGCGGACCAAGGCCTTCCAAGACACCGACTTCGACCCCACCCGCCACGGAGAGGTGGTCGCGTCCGGTGTTGTCCGCACGGCTCGGTGCAGCCAGACCGAGTTGCAGCCATGAGTGGTTCTCTTGGGTTTTTAGGTTTTAGGGGCAAGGTCAGACCGAAGTTCAGAGGATGGGCGGGTTGCCCCTTTTTCCCATGGTCCATGGTACCTTTCGTCTGGAAGAGAGACTGAGCATGACCATGTGCACCATCCCCGCGCCGGCGCCAGACTCCAAGTCACGGATACGAATGGGAACGGGGCCACGAGGTTTGAGACCCAAGCTGAAGCACCCAGCCACGGGTGCTTCAACCCCTCTCATGACTATGTTCAATACACTTCTGAACCCAAAACCGGCTGATTCCTTTTGCAGACTTCCTCAGAACCTACAACACCCCACCCAAACACCCGTGGCTGTTTTTTGTTCTCGCCACTTCACCACTTCACCACCCATCTATTTCCGTGGAACTGCACCACTCCACTCCACCCACCCCATCCCGTCCTCGAGAAACTCGCTGAGGGCCATGTCTTCCTCCCGGAGCGCACGGACTCCGATGACCCCTGGTGAGTCCGGTGAACTTCCAGGGTGGGACACGCCCTTTCTACCTTGCCTGTTCTTAGATGTGCTGCTGACTACCGGTTTAACCTTTGTACATAAATCCCTGACAAACCGAAGAAGACCGGTCAAGGCCCAATCCCATCTCCTCCGGCACCAAATCCCGAGAAGTCTCGAAAGCCGTCCCTACAAGGTGGGTCGGTGGCCATGGATGGAGGCCATGGATGGATGGACATGGTCGTTCTTGCTTCGTGGCACAGCTTGAGTTGTCCTTAGGTTTGATCCGACCAGTTGATCCCAGTTTGATCCCAGTTTGATCCGACCTGGGTTGATCTTAGGAGTCCTCCTCACCTGGAGACTACCCTATCAGTTGAAGCCGCTTCACTACCCCCCTTCATGCCTGGAAGCGAGGGCAAGTAAGTGCAAGGGAGGATGGATGCTTCTCACAAAAATGGGCTGCAGGGGCATCAGTTGCCGGTGCGGTGGCGTCCAAACCGGATTAAAACAACCTTTGAAATGGCTGTTTGTTCCTAACATGTACGTATTCCTTTACTCCAGATCTTAGGCTATCAAACAAACTCTGCCTTGAAATGGTCTTGGAAGGCTAGTGCACCAACTGTTTTGTTTGGTCATTGACTTTCGTACAAGACCCAACGCCTCTTCAGCTGCCCGGTTTCTATATGTCTCCGCGCTCTTGGGTGGAAAATGGGACGCTCAGGACACTGCAAGCAATGGGTACATTGCTTGTGGGCCATGAAACAAACACACCACCCCAACCAGTCTATAGGTGAACATTGCAGAACTATCCAATATATATATATATATTACATTTATGTATATATTTTAATGTTAAACAGTGATCCCAAATAGAAAGTGAATCCCCTTCATTTCATACTGCTAAAGAGTTCTATCCATTGGGAGGCACCATTTCAAGCTGCAGCTGCCTTCAGAGCTTTTGAGCCGAGCTTTTGAGCCACACCTGCATCAACTCATCCACACTTTTTTCCTCTCATGTTGAGATCCTGGAAGTCAGCACCAACTTCCGTGGCAAGGGACGAACTACAGGGCCCTGATTGGGCTGCAAACAACCAGAGTCTCGATTAGCCCAGGAGTTACAAACAGTAAACAGGTGCGACGTTCGACACCTTCCTATACAATCTCAGTTGAACAAAGCCACACAGCCTTGTAACTCCTGCCATACGTTGCTTTCATGCTCATGGTTTCTGATGAGTATGCTTCTTGATGTTCTTTCTCTAGTTCCTCGTGCTCTTGCTAAGATTTCGGCCTGAATTCGTGAGACATGCGCTGAAAACAGGCGCCCTTCGCATTTTGGGGTACCCAGGCGCACCTACTGTACACATTCTTGGCTTGTCGTCATGGCAGGGTCCATCTTCATGGAGCAGTGTTGTGGACTTGCAAAAGGAAAAGGAACTCAATCTGTCAGTAACTAGGGATGTTGAACTCTATGATGGAAGGATGTTGAAGGCATCCTTTAAGACGCTTCTTCCCAAAGGTTCTGTTCTGCAAAAAATCACCTGCCTTTGCCTGCCTGAGACGGCGGCATTTACTTGGAGCATTGACCGACTGAAGTCGCAGTCAGCGAATTATTACGGATCCTGCTCATCGTACCTGGTGCCCCCGGTGCGGCTCTTGAGGCTGAGGGTGTCTGCAACCGAATTGCAACACGTACGATCCTTTCGATGTTTTCTCCGCGTGTGGTGAAGCTCCGCGGTCCAAAGTGTTCACCACACCGACCGAC